TGCAGAAACACGATCGGCAAACGTACTAGTGCAAAATGTGGGCCTTACCCACGGACTCAGAAAAACAAAACTGGTGCGACCCAGGTGGTGCGAAGCAATGTTCCGCGGCTACATGCTCGAAAATATTCATTCGTCGAACTGGTATAACATGCCAATCACCGTGGCGATTCCTTGTGTACGGCAGTGCAAAAAATTCCACCATGTCATTGCAGGAAAGCAAAGGGCCGCCGTTAACGTGAAAAAATACATCAGCACGTGTGGCAGCCTAGCATCTGCTTGCACTGTATGGCTGCAAGTAAACATGATCGATCGTCCATGTATTAGCGGGGAATGGCGCGGCAATGGAACTGTTCCGTTTGCAAATCCTCCATGGGCCTGGTTGAGGATGAAGCGATGAAGCATAGTATTGGGATCCCGGATGATCCGCTGTGAATCCGATATCTTCAATGAAGGTTCCCCGTCGTACGATGGACACTGCGGCTGCGCGTGATTAGAAATCTAAATTCTCAGTGGGGATGGGGCTCTTCTCGTGGCTCGCCCACCGACCCCGCAAATGCGAGCTAACGTGTGCGGCGGCGTAGCGCGACTCCAAAGTGGGGACAAGCAGGCTCCACACGACGGCATGGGAGACAGATTTGTTTCGCGTGATGTGCGGGCGACGCATGCCCAACAATTCGAATCCGTGCACGAAATGCCGGAAAATCAGCATCTCAGCATAGCCACTGCCAGCCTGTTTTGCACGACCCTCGCGACTCCAAGCTCTGCGAGGACTTTGCTTTCGATTTCGGTTGTGGACTCCGCACTCTGATCAGCACTTCGGAAACGATACATGTAATTTCAACAATCAATGGAGTCGCCCGAGATGGCTAATGACAAAGACTGCCTTGAGCAGCCGCGACTGTGGCAGGTGCTGTGCACGTGCGAGGCGTGCAAGCCTTGCGACGCAAAGCCTCAATGTTTCAATGTTGGCGGGTTCGTTTCTTCTGCACCGTCTTCGTAATGTGGGCTCAGAAAATGTGAGCAGTGCCGTGAATCCTGCTGCACTTGCGAGCCGCTTCCAAGCAACATCACGAATGCCAGCCACAGCGCTGCCAGTCCAGACTGTCACGTCCTAGGCGGAAGAGGGCGAAAGTCAGCCATTAATATCACCGCGAACTTGCGTCGTTCCAACCGTTTGAACGCGGGCAATGCCACGGAAACATGCGTCACGTGCTTGCCCAAGCGACACGCCGGCGAAGAGGCGTGGTGCCAGAACGCTGGCCACGTGCAACAACACTGTCAATCGCAACGCAGCGAAGCAATGGCGTTTAACGGATCAAGCAGAGCGTGAGAGTCATCCAGCAAGGCTCCCTTAAAACCTCGCTCGGTGGGTTTTTCCACATGCTTCTGTATGCCAGATAGATGCGCGTTCCGCTCGCAATCGTCGCACTTTTCGGAGAGGTGACAAGTGTTGGAGGCATGCACGTTGGAGGGCTTCTTAGGGCTGCATGTTCACGAGCCGTCCGATGAAGTTCCAGTCATAGTCGGGTGGAGCGCAGACTCGAAACGAAGCACTCCAGGGCTTGAGAAGCCACGGGTCAAGGTGCAGTCCGCACATGTACGTCTCACCGGTCGACGTGAAGTGGAGGGTACCGTCACCCCAAACAGTATATAACCCTACAAATAACATGCATATCTATATGTGTATATGTGTAGATGATACAATATAAGTACATATTGTATTCAAAAACAACATAAGACAACTCTGATCAATCGTGAGGCCACGAGCTCTGCCGCACAGGATCACAGTACGATTGCTCACAAGAAGTTAACATTGCTTTGCGTGCTTCGAATCTGAGATGCCGACCTTTGGGACTCTTCGTCGGCTGTTGCGCTGCCGGTTGATATAACGTATCGTCCCTGCCGTCCAACGGTTTGGGGAACACATGCAGTCGACGCACGGCGACAGCTGCTCCGGTTCATCTGCATCGACCATCCGCGATTAAGGCTTTCGTCTTGACATGAACAAGTATATAAGTATATGGTCGACGAAACTGAGTTCGCAGTGGCTAGAGCATACTCGCGCGGAATTCAGAAAGCTGCCTCTTCGCGGGTAGCGAGTAAGCCCCTGCAGATTGCAGCCCGCCGTCCGTATCAGAGTTGTCAAGGTTTGCATCTTCGTCCCCGTGGCGCTGAGTAGTGAGAGCGAAGTACGAAAAAGCGATCCATGCTGGAATTCGCACAGAGCGCGTTGGCAGTTCTTTGCCGAACGGAGGCTGCGTCAGTATCTGCAACGGAACGTCGTGAGAGAGAACATCCGCAAGACAGGCTGATGATTCATGTACTATGTGTGTATGTAGATATACGCAATATATGTCATACATGTATGTATCTATGCATAGAAGCGCTGTACCCCTGTTGCAGGTGTATAACCTCACTCTGCATGGGCACATGGACCTTTTCGGGGTTTCTAGCGCTGCAAGAGCCACACTTCCGACTGAAGCCTTGACGGGCTTAGGCCTTAGGGCGTATAAAGGTTTAGGGTTCAGGGTTTATAAGGGTTTGGGGTTGATAAGGGTTTAGGGTTTAGGATCTCCCCCGCAGCACCACAAGCCTGACTAAACCCTACGGATGAGGCTCAGGCTTAAGTGTTAAAAGCCTTTAGACTTTGGGCTTTGGGTTGAACCCGGTTAATGTAGGAACCTAACTAAGAAACCCTGGGCCTATAACCAGAAAATAGTAACCAGGAGCCAAATAAGGACCCTAATCAACCGCCAAGGTTTCTTAATCAGGTTCCTACATTATGTGCAACCTGGAATCCTGAGCTGAGGGCGCTCAGCCTCCTGTGGTGCCACCCTCCCTTCCCTGAAGCTGCTTTTGCGCCATTTTCCCCTCTTCGCCTGCTGTTCCCAAACCTTCCAAAATCGGGAATATGCCTTTTAGTTCATATAAGGGATCCTACCATAGTCTAAGGTATATTCCTTAATTCAAGGATATTGGAAGGCCTGGGTTTTTGATGCACGCAGCATCTGGACCCGTTCGAGCGTCGAAGATCTCGGGGGCTAGGCTCCAACCTTCAACCCGGCTCTGAACCTTTAACCCTAAACCCTAAACCCCTAAACCCTTAACCCCTAAGCAGGGTGTAGTGGCTTGACGGCTCTGGCAGCTAAGTCGAGACCTAGAATCACGTGAACAGGCAGAGTATAACATGTAGACATGAAAAGCGAAAAAACAAGACTATGGAGTACAACGAACGGCAGAAGCTTCCAGCATATCCTCCGGTACTGCATGTCTGTTGCTTGCGTCTTCTTGTCATCTTCTTGCACAGTATATCCAATGGGAGGAAGATACTTCTCGTACTTCTGTGACATCAGGACAGGAGTGATCCAACACCCTACACCCTCAACCCCTAAACACGGATCGGAGATGCTCAGGACAGGGGTGGGGGCTGTCCAGGGTTTCCGGGATGGGCGCGAAATGTGAGAAAGGGCTTGGAGTCAGGGTGCGTGTGCTTGGCTGCCTTCCCCATCTCTCACACTCTCTAAAGATACCTACAACAGGATCGCCATGGTTCTGGCCATGCCAGCTGTAAGCGCACTGCTGGCAGATGCCATTGACAAAGTGCACATGCAAGGCTACATCTTTAATCTTCGGACTGGAGATCACGCCCAGGTTTGGTCTTTTCCATGTTACGTGTTGAGGCTTCCGACAACGAATGCTTTATACTGCTTCTTGATCCTATCGTCACTACCTGGACTCCCAAAGTATTGCCAAGTATGTAGAGTAATAGCCCTGTATAGGTTTTGGGCAATTATCTTACCTACCCGGGGGATGTAGGCATGACCATCATTAAGATTAGTATCCAATTCCTATTCTAGGAATTTGAAAGTTTGGCCTCGTTGCAGCCTCTGATCTTCCAAAACCCCGTCACCTTCACTACTGTTGATGATATAAATCCTGCATTACCGCATTACCTTAAGGACCCTAAACTATGGGATTTATGGTATATATTCCTTATAATGGATAATGCAGGATTTATATCACCTTCGCTATCACAGTTTAGGGTTTAGGGTTTCCCCTTTTTGTTGGTTGTTGCTGTAGGGTCACTTCCCCCAAGGCTACCAGGATCGACGTTCTGTTCGACAGCCCTGTACTGTACCTGTAATACACTAAACCCTAAACCCCACCCTAAAACCCACAAGCCCTAAACCCCCTAGACCCTACCCTAAACAACTCTCAAACCCAACTTCGACGTGGGCCTGAGGGTGGCTCATGATTGTACGTATTGTAAGGGCCTGGATAATTAGAATAGGGTGTCTGGGGGGGTATATGGTATATTGTACGAAAACCATAATAATTTCAGGAGCCCGGAAATAATGGTAAGTAGTTAGCCCTCGGTATTTGTTAGATACTCTTGCTCTTGTCAAGGCAACATGCAGCAAAACCGTGGCAGAGTGATGGCATGTCGACATCGCTGCGGCGCAGCTGCTCTGTCGTGAGACGATTACAATTACAACTACAGCACATACAGCCTTTGCCTGGCAGAAGGAGTGCGATAGGGTCCCTCTCAGCGTCATTAGGTTGAAGGGCAAAGCAATCATCGCAAGCACTGAGTGCAATTGCTTCAACATGCTTGCGGCTACTCTAGCACATCAGTTTCTATGCATAGCCCTGGGCTGGCCTTACTACACGAGTCTCAGGAAACTGACGCCGTCAGACGCCACTGCTGCAGTATGCTATATGGGTGTATGTCCCTGCATAGATACTCATGTCAAGCCTCCGGAACCTGGATGTGGTGTGATTGGCTAGTTTCATGCGCCGCAATGGTGATCACAAGCGATGGATCTGCAATATGCAGCTGCTGACGCCTAACTAGTTAATCGTCTGCCTCGTTGGGTGCACATCTTTCGACAAACGCCTCTTTGCCCCTCTTCCTGCGCGGATGCAAAGCTATGGCAATGGAATCTGTACTGTGCAGCACGGAATCTCGAATTCTTGGCTCATCCTCTTCCGACACCCGTTCAGGAAGAGCTGCCTCAGCTGCGTGAGTGTGTGAAGCAAGGGGTTTAGGGTTTAGGGATTTAAGTTTTTAGGGGTTTAGGGGTGTCTTCCTTCTGAAAATTGTTCTAGGCTTGCTAGTCCTCTTGCAGACTTCGCGCTCAAACTGCAAAAAAAATGACCCCCAATTAGTCGCTGGACCCAAACCACAAGCCACGAGCCTGAACCCGCCCAAAAACTCTAGACCCCAGCTCATAAGAGCCACCGAAACGTGGCACTTCTGACACTTACGAGGTGCAGGGCAACCTTGCCCTGGACTCCAGTTGCCTACCATGTAGACGGGCACTACTCCTGAAACCCTACATAACTCTCCCGTCTGCTACCCACAACTCAGCATCCAAGGTCTGAGAACCCCAACTTATATAGACTTAAGAGCAATAAGTGATCGCTGCATCGTGTGGTGCGATCATATAGTCGATAAGCGGTGCTGCGCGCGTGTTGTTGGTACTCGTCCCAGCCACCCTACAAACGATTGTTTACAAGACCTACAAACTTGAACACCCCGAAGAACCCGAATCCTTCGGATTCGGCCGCCGGCTTCGCTTTTGCATGGATTCGTAAAGCTTGCACAGGGCCTGAGCTGCTCTTAGCGAGTTTAGGGAGCAAAGAAACCGTCGTCATAGTCATTAGATTACATCGGGTCTGGGGCATGGTACAGTATATAGCAGGGTACTTGTAGAGCGAGCTGCTTGTATATATACATATATATATATATACACATACACACACATATATATATAGAGAGAGAGAGAGAGAGACAGAGATATCTATATATATATATATTATATATATATATATATATATATATTCATTCATATATAAACGGACCTATGACTCCAAGTTCTTCAGGTCCTCTGGCCCGAAACCCTTGAGCCGATGTGCAAATCTGATACCTCCCCCTGCCCTTATAGATGTCCCCAAAATAGGCCGTCGTCGAGGGCCCAGGTAGGGTTTGGCGTTTGGGGTCGGGGAGTCGCAGTTTTGGGCGAGGCATGCTGGATCGAAGCTGGAGCTTTGCTTTGAGGTTCAATTCGGTGCTGCCGGGGCGCCTTTCTACTTAGAAACTTGCTTCGGTAAATAGGGTTTGGGGTTTATGGTTTCGGTGAATTATAATTACTAACCCCATCTAACCCCGAACCTTAAACTAACATGCCAACCCTAAACCCCATACCCTAAACCCTATACCATCCTAAACCCTAAACCTTAAACACTTCTGAAGCCCTAAACCCCGAAGCCCGAAGATTAAGCCTCTCCCCCCTCACATGGAGTATGGCCTTCCGTGTCTCCGACAGCTTGGAAGTGGACTCCGAAGAAGAACCTGCTGCAGCCTACCATAACTAGGGGCTAGGATCATTCAGAGAAGGGTTGGGGTCTACCGTATACCCTAGTCTAATAATGTGAAGAAGCTCTACCTGCCGCCATGTTCATCAGCCTCTCGGCAGCTTTAGGCCTCCAGAGTTCGCTGCAAGGTTCCAATATCCTGGAACCCAGGGGCTCCCAATAGTCTCATGACTTCGGACACCCCAGCAGGTACCATTTATATACTCTCTTCTCCAATAACCAGGCCCAAACAAAGTTCAAACTTTTTAAGCTAAACCAAATATATGAAGCCAAAAAGTTTAAAGTCCTCCAATAGGCTAAGTAAGTATACATGGAACGTTCGAATAAGGCCTAGCACGGTACGACCAGGTGTCCAACATCAAGAACCCGTGAGCTTCAACAAGCCTAAAACCTGAATCCAAGACCCTGAACCTGGAAACCCTGAACCCTATGTATCCTGAACACATAACCCTAAACCGTAAGCCTTCAACTGGGCCTAAACAAACCCTTAAACCCCAAATAGCCCCTAGTAAAGCCTAAACTCCACGCCGATTATCCGAAGCCGAACTTTGCCTGACTTCGGCTTGTCTTTCTGCATCGATTGGAAAAGCTTCTGCAAGGCCTCACAGCGTCGACACAGTAGGGTTCCTTTACGATGGGGTTTGGAGTTCATGGCTTATGATGTAGGGTTCCTTGGGGTTCCTGGTAGGGTTTGTGGCTTCCTTTACCGGTTCCTTTAGGGTCTTGAAGTTCTTCTTGGGTTTCATGAAAGGTCATGTTCCGGGTCCATGTAAGGGCTCCTGCAATGGTTCATTCAAGGGTTTAGGGCTAGGGATTTCCCGGCTTCGAGGGTTTCCGGGTTTAGCTCTTTATGGTTTTGAGAGTCACCTTAATCGTCTTCTCAAAAACCTCAACTTCAATTCATGAACCCGAACCCCCTGCACCGAAAATCAACTCCTCGATCAGACTGGAGTGAAAGCAGCCGTTGTTGAGATCCAATGTATACAGAGAGGTAGGGGAAACCCTCGTAGACAGCAGCGCTCGTCGTTGCTCTCGCCATGCGCAGTAGTGTGCTAGCCGGTGGAATTGTTGAAGTGGAGCACCTGCATTACCTGCAGGATCCTTTAGAAGCTGCCCCCGCCCTGTAATAGTGACCATAAGGATTATATAGGGTTATATTAGGGCCCTAATATATTCCTATTATACCACTATTACAGGGTGGGGGCAGCTTCTAAAGGATCCTGCTGGGTGCCCGACAAATCGGAAGGTCTGGCCGCCTTCAAAATGGAAATATCAGCGAAACCCGATCCCCTGAACCTAATGCTAAAACCCTAAGCCCTAAACCCTACCCTGAACCCTGAAACCCCAAAACCCTAAACCCTAAATCCCCTAAACCCTAAACCCTAAAACCCCTAAACCCCAAACCCCAAAAAACGAGTAGTGGGTCTGAAGCTTTGCTACCACGACGCAGCTTCCAGCTATCACTAAGGCGAGGAATTCAGGAGTCTCGCGTGTCCATATACTCAACTTGAGATCCTTGCAAAACATGCAGTTTCAATCGCTTCCCAAGGATTAAAAGCCGAACAATCATAATTACAACACAAAAAACAATTGTCGCCAAGTATCCCTAAGGTACACCAGGAGCCCCAAGTGCCCCTTAATGGGCTCTTAGATTCCTTATTAAGAGGTATATAAGGGCTACAATAAAGGGTAGTTGGGGAGTCTACGTAAGACTTAAGGACTTCAAATCTGGTGTTTCCGTTCCGGGGACTCCCAGGGAGTAGGTTGATGCAAAGTTTACGGCGTAAACTTTGCATCGGTCCATAAGAGTCAAACAGGGCTACTCCAAATTTATGACGGCTTCCCAACAACCCTGAACCCTAGCTCCCGAAACCGCAAGCCCGTAAGCCCTACAAGAATTAAAATCCTAAAACATTCGCCCGTCCCCCACCCTCAAACTTCAAACCCTAAACCGAAAACTCTAAAACCCTTACGCGTAGAGACGGGCTGTAAGAACTCGAAGAAGTTCTTGGGCTATGCTATAGTACAAGAGCTCGAGATTCCACACTTTTCGAACCGACATGCTTGAAGAGTCTGCCCGTTCCCCAAACCAAAATCCTGCACACGATTAACCCTAATGATGTTTAAAGGAATCTGTGCAGGAAGGTCTACAGAACCCTTATGGCAACCCTGAAAGGTGCATCGCTGAACCTCCCAATCGAAACCCCTGTGAACCTGCCGTGCGTTGGAGCTGCCGGAAGTCGCTTCGCCTCCGCCGTTAAGGGGTTTAGGGATTGTAGGGGGTTAGTGTAGGGGCCTTAATTAATAATTATAATAGTGTTTTGGGGAGAACAGGGTTTTGGGGCACATTATACTACAATTACCCACACTTCATCCACATGTGCACCAGAGTTGCTCTACTCAGGACGATTGCCTTTGGCTTCCAGCCACTCTTGGCCCTCCACCATTGCCCCAACAGCTTTTGGCCAGAAGAGCTCGATGCAGGGACAGCTGGAGCCGGCGGTGGGCAAATATCTGCATGACCAGCTCGCACAGCATGAGGTGGCGGCGGGTTCACATCCATGGGCCTTCCCCTAGGCTCCTCCGCCACACACGCTTTCATGCACGGTTTAAACGGTTTAGGGCCTAATTGCTTACAGGGTTTGGGGTTGATACTAGATGTTTTGGTCTCATCCTGGCCTCCAGTCGCCTCTCTTTGGCCTACTCATGCTCGTGCACTTCCATCAGCAAGCTCCCGTTGTGAAGTCGAAACAGTTCGTTCTCGCCCATCTGATCGTCTTCTTCTCAAGCATCAAGGCTTCGATGTTTTCCTTCTTGAACGTACATGCTCCTTGTCCACGAACAGAAAGGAAACCGGAGGCACCGTGGTTCCACCACGGTGCATAGCAGCACCCGACCGGCCTCCCTCGCTCGCCGGCAGCATGCCCAACTCAACAGTGAAGCCAGCGGGGTTGAACTTTCACAAGGTTTAAGCCTTACAAGGCTCAGGGTTTAGAAAAATGGTGTTTGGGGTTTAGGGTTTGGGTTTAGTGTGCCCCAACGCCACAAACTAAACCTCTCACATAGTAGACGGTCGTGATTGGACACTACGGAAACGGGCACTAAACCTACAGACCCAAACCCGTGAGATGCCATATCCGCACACACGAAAGTGCAAAGGCACGGGTCTTTCGATCCAATGGGTATTCCCTTGTTACAGTGCTGGTCATCGAACTCGTGATGATACATGTTGCAACTGCCATTACCGCCTACCCCCTGGCTGGGTGCGCTGATTGCTCTTGGCAGTCTTACGCGTCGGCACTGCGCCCGCATGAGAATTGCGACTATACTCCAACCCTGACGTCCTGCTAAACCCCTAAACCCTAGACTTTGGCTCAACCCCTGTACACCCTAAACCCTAAACCCCTGTGCCCGAAGCCCCGCCAACAGAATCGCCAGCAGCAACGTCCGCGCGGCTGCATGCTCGCCTTGCCAGTGTACTGTCGGGGCCTTAACAAACAGAATAGGGTTTGTGTGTAGAATATAATGTCAGGAGGAACCCCCAAAATAGTTTTGTTTCGTATTTAGGCCCTGTAAGAGCTTTAGGCCTAGGGAAGCTTACAGGAGCTTACTAAGGCTCCACATTTAAAGCTCACCAGAAACCCAGAGCGTGCGTGGGTTCCTGGCCCGGGCCACGGTCTAATGTGAGTTAAGGCTGCTTAGGGGTTTAGGGTTTAGGGGCTAGGTTTTAAGAGATGAGACTTTATAGGGCTAGTTTTTAAGGGATAAGACTTTAGGGTTTGGGGTTTGGGGGAACAAGACCTTTGGTTGTGGTCTTTTGGGGTTGATGGTGCAACTTTTGCAGGGACAGCCTCCTGAGGGGGCCAAGAGGGTTATTATTGAACGTCAGGCTTAGCCTCCAAATCCTAGCCGTCCTTGCCTATATGTTTACAAACTAATCTTATCCTCAACCCAAATACATACTTCTCGGGCTGTTAAACCTGTATGGTGACCCCCCCCCCAGACAACACATCCTCAGCCGATAAGTCCCATAACTCTAAACCCTAAACCCCCTCTTTCCACCTCCCCTCCTAAAGCAACCAGAGCACAACCTTGGCCTATGAACCCCAAAGCATCTCCTGCGCTTTACTCGAAACCTCATCCTTGGGCCAGAGGTTCAGGGCTTAGGCTTATAAGCTCGGGGTTTGGAGTTTAGGCTCTAGCGCGCTTAGGGTTCTGTGTTTAGGGTTTACGGCCCGCCTTTCAGGGACTGCTGCCGGGGCAGCGTCAACTGCTTCAGCCTCCCGGTGATTCCAAAAACCGACAACCCTTCCGGGCTGAGGCGCTTTTGGATTTAGGGTTTAGTTCTTTCAGTATAATAAGGAAACCTGAAGAAGAATCTGGTTTCTACTTACTGCGACCCCTGTTTTACATTGGGGCTCCACATTCATGGATGGAAACTTTGCTTGTAGCTACTAACTACTAGTAATTATAAGCCCGCATGAAACATACTTGTAAACCTATGGAAGGCGCGATGCTAAACTTAAAACCCTAAGCCCACGTTAGATTTACTTGCATTTACTTGCGCCGCATAAAGTTCACAACTGCCCATGAACCCGAACCCTATGCCCCAAGCCCCGTTCACGGCTAACCCTCACATGTGGGGTTTTGGGTAGAGGCTGTTGGAGCTTTATGGTGTGAAGTTGGGTGCTTTTGAACCACAACGCTTGTGGTTCATAGTCTGAGGGTGCAGTGCAGAATTTTGAGTCTACCGGTGTAATGGTCTATTGCACAGTGGTCCAATGGTCCTGTAAGCGACTAACCAGATGGTGGGTCCTGCCTTCTTCTCTCGAATTCGCAAATCTGTTGTGCTCCGGTGCCGCAACGCACCACGTCGGCAGGGCTTCCGCTCATGGCTGGGAGACTCTGTCAAGCTCCTGCACAGCGCTTCCAGCATCGCACTACGGATGTTTGTAGTAGGGCTGGTCGTTGAGTACTGTGCACCCTCCCCTACCATGCTCAATGTCTCCAACTGCTCACTGCTCACATGGCTGAAGCTACGACAGATATGCTCCCAGCAACGTCGTCTCAACAGATACCCACCAGAACTACTTACGAGTTGCGTGGGTCCCGCAACAACCAACACATCCTCATGAGGTCGGAAAGACTGGACAGCGCACCCCACACTACAGCAACCAGTGGTCAACATGCACGCCAAAAACCCTGATGCATAAACTCTTGTGCCCACAGAACTTAATACTCGGATCTGTGCGAAACACTGTAAAACCCAGACCCTTACCAAAGGACGGGTTTTCATTCACGAAGGGTCTGCATGAATCACGAACTCACATACAGTCTTGCCATGGGACTTCCTGAAGCTGCCTACGACAACACTTACAGAACAAAGGGTGGAATAAGTAACAAATACACACAGTAACACCATGGTGGACCAGACAAAGTAATTAAACGAGATGAAGCGAGCAACACAAGACTCACCACCCGAAGAACAACATTGGTACGGTTGCAGCACGGCACGTAAAATTAGCAGTGAACTTGAAGCGTGCGCAAAAGCAGCCACCGGAATCTTCAAATCATCAACGCATTTTAGGGAAGCAGCTGAAGCATGCCCCAAAAAACGTTGTAATCATCGCCAAACTGTATTTACACGTGCCAACAACATACAGAGCTGCCTGAATTTTCGGATACACGCAGTTCTCATGTGCCGCTGCCAATAAAACGCTGATCATTCCCATTTGGATAAGCCAACTAACAGCAATTCATGCAGCAGGCTGGCTCACACCATTCATGAACTGCAAGGTATTCTGAGAAATTATGGCGTTGGCTTGCAGTGGTTCACAGTATGCACACAGTAATTAGACGTAGCGACCATATTATCCATAACACTCATGACTGTCAACCTATGTCAGAGCCTGTAGGTACCGTGTACATGGGTTCATAGTGCTGCACAAATTCGTGACCATAAATCTACGGCGGTTGGAACCAGCGTCCTTGTCTAACAACGGAGCCAAACCCGGTGGGCGCAGTGTTTTTCTCTGCTTGCAACTGAAGCATGAAGGCTCAAGTCTGAAAGCAGCGACCCCAGAACCCCAATGCTCGGAGGTCACGCAGTAACCAGTAATTAGTTCCTACTCCCCACGAGATAACAATGCCGGATTAGCCAAGCCACACTTCATACAGTCCGGCCTTAGGAGGTCTTGAAATATAGTTTGACTTATTTCCTTCCGGCACGCCTCCAGAACTGTATACTGAAGCCGCAACAGCACCCGAGCGAATGCCGTGTGATTCGTGGGTCCAGAAATTTCAAATTCCGCATGTTGTGCTGCCCTATTTTTTGCTGTCCCATGCCCACATCAAGTTCGCAGAGAACCACCGATCAACAAAAACATATGACAAACATGCCGTATTCCGCTCGATCAGCACCCAACACTACAAGCCACAAAGATGGATTTAAACTATCGGAACCATGCTAAGACGGTGTATGCACAAAATCACGAGAGCTCTTGGTCTTTCACGCAAAACTCTCAGCTCTCGTCAAAGAGCAATAACAATCACAGATCTTATCAGTACCTCCGGCAACCGCCGGGGGAGGAAAAGCAGGTGACCGATAGGTATGACACCATCTAGAGATGCTTACATTCACGTGTTTGTTTAGGTCCTTGAAACGTTTTATGTCTCGAACTAGAGACCCGGCAACCGTGCAGCATGAATAAACCGTGGTTGCGGGACAGATCCTGAAAGTCATGGTCGTCACAGGGTGATGTCGTGACGAATTTCAGGTCGAAGCATGCCTCCAGAGATCCAGCTTTCAAACTGTAGTCCTTGTTGTTACTTGCTGCGGTTCCTGACCTAGCGAGCCCATGAAGCATTGCTACTGCGACGGATTTCCTTACAAATGGTCCCGTCATCCTCTCATGTGCCTGTGACTACTACGCCCGCTCATACCACTCCTACCGTGACTCCAATGTCCTGCGTCCTACCTCCTACTACTACTGCGACGACGACCACCACATCCACCACGACGGCAACAGAACCACCGCTGCTTCTTCTTTTCTCTGCAGGGCAAGGGGGAACCAAACAACAGTTCGACTAGCTGACCTGGCTAGCTTTGGCAGAGGAACGAAATTGACAGGGACAGAACTCCCAGAACTAATTAATATGGCATTCGGGAAGTACAACTTACACTTCAAGTTCCAAGATGTTCTGAGAACTGATATAGAAACCTGGATAATCACACTGAGGCTTCAGGGTATGTTACACTATACTGTATAGTTGTGTACGGACTCAGCCGTGTTTACACTCCTAAAAAATGCCACTCATTCCGGGATCAAAAACTTGAAGTTCAAAGGCAATACTAGTCCTAAATACGATTACCTTAAAGACTAGAAGGCCCTCTAACCTTGAACCCGAGACGAATGACGATGTGCCCCACGAACGAAGGGCTCTCCGATCTGGATGCAGTAGCGGTGCTAGGCCTAGGTCGACATAGGGCTAAAGCCAAAGGGATAAAGGGTTGAGGGCTTAGGGCAGGTGTTGTCTGTCGGCGGGGACATTGTGCGAACAATATCATGACGAGCGGTGGGGGATGTGCCTGACGTTCCTCGCACCTCTACAGGCACATCAAGTTGATGTGAAAGCTCCTCATCACTCTTAGTTACCAAATTAGTATGAACCCGATGTGCGCAGAAACTACACTTAAGCTGGGGTCGGGCGCCCGTGTCCGAAACTCCAAGCTGAGCTGCAAGTCGCAACGAAAACCGTACACTTCACAAAACCGAAACATGACCGATAAACCATGAGCAACCCCAAGACTCCAAACCACCCAAAACTTCACACCCTGCCATACCCGAGGGCCTACACACAGAGCCTACCGTGGGGTTTCGGGTCGTCGATGGTTTGGGTATCAGGACTCAGCAAGAATACCATAACTGCGGACAGTATCGCAACGACCCAGTGAGCAGCGCCAGCATTCCATAAACACACTCAATACGTACTAGAGGAGTTTCGAGGCATGCTGGCCCGCGCAGAAAGAGAAGTAGGCAAAAAAGGGCAAAAACGCAACAGTTTCGAGTGCCATGCAACACAAATCGGGAACCCCAAACCCCAAAGCTTTTAGCGGAAAACCTCATACAGCACACCATGAAACTGAATCCCAAAAGCCCAAGCCATAAAGCCGTCTATGTATGTATGTATGTATGCATGTATGTATACATATATGTCCACGAGCAATCTGTATACAAACCTTCCTCTGTTGAAATGAACTCGTATAAGAAAACACACACAACCTCCAGCTGTCCAAGTACAAAACCCTAAACCCCTAAACCCCAAGCCCTCAGCCCGAACCCTCAAACCCCTAAACCCTAAGCCCCTAACAATCAACTCCTGGGATGCCCCCTTAACCCTAAAGCCCAGTTCACTCCTTGTAGCGAGGTCGTTGGCCTCTGTGAAGGGCTCCTCCGTTGAGCTCCGATCCTAACAGCTTAGATGCTTTAAGGCTTATGCCGTCGGAATTTACGGTTTAGGGCTTAGGGGTTTACGGTTTCAAAAGGGTTTTGAGGCTTTGTTGGGGTTTTAAGGGTTAGGGTTTAGAGTCAAAGTTAGCGGGTGTATGTCTAGTCTGGTCGACATCGGGGCAGTACTGAGTAAGATAGGTTTTGGAGTGCATTATAGCATAAGCAGTGATTACACGGACTACAGGGGGATATTCCTAATAATCACTCAAACAAACCTCTACTGGTCAGGCTTCACCGCTTCCAAGTTTCTAGTACCTGTCATGTATCTCACGGGTCTTTGGGACAGGCCCTACCAAACCCCCCCCCTCCACACCCCAAAACTCCATAAATTTCTACGGTTCACTTGAATGCAGGGGCCGGGAATATCAGGAGTCGCAAGCGCTCGAATGTTGTCATTCCCATCCAGAAGGACAACTAGTCCTAAACCCCAAACCCTCCAACCCGAAACTCCTCCTCAAGGCATGTCCTCAATAAAGCCCTCCTTTAAGGAACAAGAGCCCCGGGACCTCTTAAAGGAAACCTTAAAAGAGCCTGAAGCCCAGCAAAACCTTGAATGACCACCCAGATCACGACACCTTCTGAGCTGCCCAGGCCATATCGTCGTCTGTGTCCTTCCGATTCTTTCGGGGTTGGATGAAATTGCATCAAGCCCTACCTTAACCCTGAATAACCTGCGCTTTTTGGGGTTCCTCATTATGGTTTCCTTATATAGGTCCTTAAAGAGGTCAGTTATTCCGGGTTAAGGTAAACCCTAACCCTGAACCCTTAAACCCTGAATTTTGGAGTACTATCCCCTAAGTTCAGAAAAACGCAGTCGCAGCCCTAAAACCCTTCAGCCCTACCCATAGGCCCCAAAGCAGTGCCTTTTTGGGATTACCTTATAGGGTTCTATATACGAACCCCCAAAAGGAACTACTTTGGCGCCTTGGGGTAAGGTGCTCAAACTTCGCCACTGCAAACCCCAAACCCCTCTCAACCCCCAAAATGCCCAATACCCAAAGGCCTCAAAGTAGTTCCTTTTTGAGGTTCATATTTAGAATTCTATAAGGTCACCGAAAAAGGAGCTACTTCGGGGCCTTTGGGTAGCAACAATCAAACCCGAAAGCTACACGGGGGTTTGAGAACAATAACAACATGCTACTCCACTTAGGAGTCCTGAAAAAACAAGGATTCTATGTATGTAAGATTCTGATAATACGGTTTTGGGGGCTCTTACCCGGTAATTATCATTCATAAGGAACCCCCAAACAAGTTTTAGTAATTATTTGGGCACCTATGTTGTGTTAGGATCCCTTTTTCTGAAGCTGTCAAGTCATCCCATGCTCCTTTCTCCGAAGCTTTCTTTAAAGGGGCTGAGGGCTTTGGGGTTTAGGGGTTTAGGGTTGAGGGCTTCGGGCTGTAGTGTTTAGGTCTAGGGGTTTGTGTTAAGGGCTTCTTGCTTTAGGGTTGAGGGGTCTCCCAGAGGCTTTCCAGCGATGGATACCTCAAGAAAGGGCCTATCCTAGCTCTTACAGCAGTAGGACCTTGCTGTTTCTTGTTTACAGCGATGGTTCTAGTAATCGAGGGGCTTGGTTTCCTGCCAAGTCTTTCAATAGAAGCCACTTTAAGCACGCATCTTTATCGAACCCCCTTTCCCCGAAAGGGCAACCCTGAAGAGACAAATACGCTCGCAACATCTCAAAGGTGTAGACTGGGTAAATCACCTCTTCCCGAGCCCTTTCAAGGATCCCCAAATTTGCACCCATTGACAAACAGCCTTGTCGTTTATCGTGCTTGCGAGGTTCATCTTGGGGAGCATCTATCTTAAGGCAGTACATGCGTCGCCGCTCGAAGGACAAACCCTTATGCTCTATACCCAACTTCTAGCCACTTAAACCCTAGACCCTAACAAAACACGATGAAACCCTTTCAAAACTACAAGCTTCTGTAGTGGATCCGTATAAGCACCCTATAAACAGCCTTGCAAGAACTACTCGGCCCATGACTTCCAAATAGCGCTCCAACCCCAAACCCTACAACCCCTAAACCCTAAACCCCTCAACCCTAAAACCATAAACCCTTCAACCCTAAACCACTAAACGCCAAAACCCTAAGCCCTAAACCCAGAACCCTAAAACCTAAACCCTAAACCTTAAACCCCTCAACCCTAAAACACGAGACCCCAAAATCAAAACTCCAAACCCCCAAAACATGAACCCTAAACCCCTAAACCCCCAAACCCCAAGACACAAACCCTGCTCCCTTCGACGGCCTCGCCCGCCGAACTGATTTCCACGTCTGCAGGAGCTGCAGGAGCCGGGATCGTCGCTTCCTTCAACATGGGGGGTTTCCGAAAATAGTGGTACTGTTAAAGGGTACCATAAGGGCTCCTTTAAAGGACCTATAGGGTTCTATGAACGGTTCAGGGTTCTGGATTTGGGAGTTTCCGAAAATCGGGGTACCTTTAACGTTTTGGGGCTCCTTAAATGGATCTAGAAGGGTTCTTTACAGGGTTTAGGGCTTAGGGTTTAGAGTTTCCGAAAATAGGGGACCCTAACATGATACCACTAAATTGTAGTAACCTGATAATAGGAACCCCAAAACAAGGTACCACCAATTTTCGGAATCTCCCATAAGGGCTCAGGGTTCGGGATTTGGTTTCAGATTAGGGTTTGGGAGGGCAGGGTTGAGGGTTCATGGTTAGGAATTGAGGCGTAAGGTTTGGGGCTTAGGTTTCGGGGTACAAGGTTGTGGGCTTAGGCATGAAACTCGGGTGTTGCTTTATGAGGGTTAGGGGTTTAGAGTTTAGGGCTTTAGGATTCCACCGTTTTGGGGTACAAGGATGTGCAGGGGCTTAGGGTGTTTCAAGTTAGGGCCTAAGAACTCGGCAGAATAGCAGTGCTCCTTGTTGTATAATTGTTTAACAATACTTCTGTTTATGGTCCGACAAGAGCAATGCGGCAGCCAACAGCAGGAACTGCAAAAGACAGTCTAGGTAGATTGATTAGACACATGCATCGGGCACTACAGTAGGTCCGGTGACCAAGAGCTAGTTTCAGGTTGGCAAAAACGGTTCAAAGCTTCCGGGGTTTAGGGCTGGGGTTTCTGCCTTTAGGTTCAGAACATCCCACGAAAACCTGTGTTACTAGTGTAGGAGCCTTGTTAATTAGAATGGGGTTTTGGGGCCCAATATACAGTAAGTGCAAAACGGAACCCCTTAAATAGTAAAGGTAATTAATAAGGCCCCTACACTACACCCACAATACCCCTTGTAGTAACCCCCTCAAGCCGTCCTCAGGCACAGCCTTCGCTCGGGCACTTGGGTCGGTCATGGCCCTCCCAACCGCATCGGCCTTGCGAAGCTTTGCAGAGGACTTTTCGTGCCAGAGACAGAGAGCCAGAGACTCAGACAGCGAGAGCGAGACAGAGCCAGAGAGGGTGAGAGAGAGAGAGAGAGTGTGTGTGTGTGTGTGTACGTACGTAGGTAGGTATGTATGATTTATGTATGTATGCATGTACGCATGAATGCATGTAATTATGCCTGTACACATATATGTGTAAATAATTTCAAAAGAAATTAGTTACACAAACCAATGCTTAACTAAACAAACCAATAAACAAATTCATAAACAAACGAAGGAACAACAACAAAATATGTACGTGAAACAAATACACGAACCAATAAAACAATGATAGATAAGTAAACAAAAGTAAATAAGCTTACACCTATAGACTGACTATATAGATGTAGAGTGTGTGTCTGTGTGTGTGTGTGTGTGTGTCGGCCTCGGTGCTATTTTTATAGAAAAACACGCCTTATTACACGGTTTGGGTATGTTTTGTTTACAGACTCCCGTGTCGTATGTACATGTTGCACGCAGGTGCAGATTGGTTGATGAGCACAAGCACTCAGGCCGACTCTTTCTGTTCTACACATGTGTGTAAATATATATATATATATATATACACACGCACATAACGTGCATGTATATATATATATATATATATATATATATATATATATATATATACATATATACACACACATGCATGCATACATGCGTCTGATATGTCGGGTGAGGGATCAAAAAAATTGAATAAGGATAGAAAAATTAAATGGCAGGATCAAAAAAATGAAATAATGATAAACAAAAATAAAATCATTGAAAATACACCAATTCCTGGGGCAGAGGCATCAACAAATAAGTAAAATACGCATCAAAAGAATATAGTATTTTAATTACAGCAATTCCTGAGTTTTTCCAAGGGAAAACACTATTTTCCTACGGATTCTCTTTCATTTCTTAGGATTTGCTTGGTTTTTCCTCGGTAATACACGATTTTCCTACGGATTCCGTGTTATTTCCTTATGTTTTCCTTAGTTTTTTCCTAGGAGAAAAACTATTTCCTATTACCTATGGCGAAGGAAAACATGTGTTACCTTGGTTATTCCTCGGGAAAATCAGATTTTCCTTACAATTTCGCATTTAGGACGGATTTCGCGTTGTAATTGTTGCTGGTAGTGTTGTTGTTGTTGTTGTTGTTGTTGTCGTTGTGGTTGTAGTATGTTGTAGTTGTAGTAGTAGTAGTAGTAGTAGTAGTAGTAGTAGTAGTAGTAGTAGTAGTAGTAGTAGTAGTAGTGGTAGTAGTAGTAGTAGTAGTAGTAGTAGAAGTAGTAGTAGTAGTAGTAGTAGTAGTAGTAGTAGTAGTAGTAGTAGGGGTTTAGGCTTAGGGTTCAATAGTGTCTAATTACTTTGGCTGGCTGGAAAGGTTTTTGGGAAGATAGTGGGTCCTTAAAGAGTGTCTCAGGGCTTGTGGTTGGGGTCCAGGGTTCAGGAGGTTCTGTGCACAGATAAAGCAGACCATTGGTGCCGCAACCCCCCTGCAGCCTTCACACCAGATCATTTACTGACGCTGGGAAACCCGTGCGACCATGTGGGAGTTTCCAACAATTAGGGGGTACCTTATTTTGGGTCCTTCTATATAATCAGGATCCTACTATTTACGGTACTATATTAGGGTCCCCTATTTTCGGAAACTCCCAAATCCCGAACTCTTATGAAGGAAGCGACGATCCCCGGTACCATATTAGTGTCCCCTAATTGTCGGAAACTCAATGTTGAAGTCTCAGAGCAAGCTGCTGCCTTCAGCGACTCGTCTGTTCGGTCTGCGCGAGGGGCCTTGTGAACACCATGCATGAGCCACGGTTTAGGGGTTTAGAGTTTAGGGGTTTAGGGCTTAGGGTTCTGCCCTAGTTGATACCTTAAACTATAAAAGACCCTGCTGTTTTGTAGGCTCCTACTATCGAAGCTAGTAGGTTTCGGTAGGTTAAGATAAACCTGAAACTGTCTAGAGCCCTTTTTCTGCTTTTTATGTGCCGTTTCTTGCAAGCTCATGTCACCTATTGCGGCGGGCTCTCTTTTTCGTGCGGGGCTTCGAAGTGAGATGTCGGTCTCCCTGGAGACAATATATCAACTACAGCTTGGCTTATATCCTTGCACCGGAGACTTGGACAGACATTTGAAGCCATGCTTGCTTCAAGAAAGCCTTGTTGGAACCACATGCCAAGATATACAAGATACCTCAACATGCAACCCTGTAACCTATTTTAAACCCAAAACCCGAAACCTTCAGTGAAAACCCTGAAGCCCTAAATCCCAAAACCCGAAGGCCCTAGACTCCATCCCGTTAAAACCCTAAAACCCTAGAACTCCGAACCCACTTGCCTGTAGCCCTGAGCCCTAAAGCCTTCTGTGGCAAATGTCAGCCATGCGCTGCCAAAATACTTCGACACTTCCTAGCCCGCGTTTTACAGGACCAGCATCGATCTAGGTCTTCGGGTGTAGGGCTTACCTACAGTCTCCATTGTAGATCGCTCCTGACCGAGCCCTTCCTTCAAAGCCTTCAAACCCCCCGCGGCCGCAACAGCGTTGTCAGCACCTTACCAAAACTCTCTCTGCAAACCGTAGAGCCCGGGTGTTAGGGTTTGGAACTCCGGGTACCCACACAACCCTGCAAAGACTCAAAAGCACCCAACATGTACATATTCTGCCCAAGGGACCGGGGGCGGCAAGGGCTCGCGGTTGCCCAGGCCCAGATCGCTTCGATGTTTCTTCTCCTCGCGGTCTCTGGTGGGTGTAAAGCATAGGCGGCACAGGGTCTGGGGTTCAGGGTTTGGGAAAATGCTATACTCAATACACATTAGATAGCCCAGTATAGGGTAGGGGTCCCCATTAAGGGTCCCTCCTTTTCCCCTTTGATATACAGTCCGAGAGCAAGGAAACTGTATGTTAGACTCCGGTGAAGCATTTCGGTCTGGGGTTCATGGGCCTCCATAGTCGTTTGGGGTTTAGGGTTTAGGGTTTAGGGTTTGGAGGCTGTCCCGGGAACTCAGGACTCACGGCGAGCTCATATCTTAAGGCGCTTTCGGTCCCAAAGACCAGCTGCATGAGGCGCTGGGTCAAAGGGCTCCAAAGGTGGGACGTAGATAGGTGGGATGATCCCCAAGTAAGAGAGTATATATATATATATATATATATAGAAAGAGAGAGAGGATCCTTCATCTACTTACCTTCATCCCACCTTTTGAGGCCCCTGATTGGGGCCATGTTGAACGTTAGTGAAGCAGCAAGTGGCAGAATGTCGAGGCAGTTTGCAGTAGCAGCTCCTTAAACCCTAAACCCAATATTACACCAAACCCTAAAGCCTATTATGAGCCCTAAACCATAAATTGCTTTGGTGTCGGGATCCTTCCTTAGTTTTACACTGCTTGCATTCTCAACTATAGCAATGCTACTCAACAGGGCACAGATCGCCCAGAGTAGGTTAGGGTTTAGGGTTTTGGATTTTTGTTTGTCAATTTTGGGGCTCAGGGTTTAGAGTTCAGGGTTCAAGGTTGAGGGTTTAGGGTGGTGCCACTTTCAAACTTAAATACCCGAGGCAAGCAGTCTTCGTATCCTCCGAGCTGACAGGAACAGCGGTACGCCTCCTCCAAGCATTTTTCTCAGGTCCCTACGGGATCCTGTAAAGGAAGAACCTAGCGGATCCTTTAAAGGAAGATCGTGGGGTTTTAGGGCATCCTTTAAAGGAAGAACCTGGGTTCCTAGGGGATCCTTTCAAGGGCAAATCCACTACCCCAGTAAACTAACCCCTGAACCCTAACCACAACCAACAGTCGCTGATTAGACATCGTGAAGCAGCCACCTACCATACAGGCAAAAAAAGTCTAGGGTGGTTCAGGGCTCTAGCCCCGGAACATAAAATCTCAGACACCCACTTACTAATTAGCCGAAACCCTACATAAAATCTGAGCCCTGAACCCGTAAACCCCAGACCGTTAGACATCTAGCCAACCCTAAACCGTATACCCCTAAACCCTAAATCCCTAAACCCTACACCCTAAACCCTAAACCCTAAGCCGCGCCTGCTGAAGGGCTGCACGGTACGCCTCCTCCGCCTGGGCGTGCCTCTGCCTCTGCAGGCAGGCGCTTGTCCGAAATGCGTTGTCGGGCTCCCCTTAAAAAGGGGCCTGAACAATTAGAATAGGCTTCCTTTCGAAGGGGTCTAGAGGGGCTACTACAATGGATACTCTAAGGGTACTGTGATATAGGCTATAGGGGCCATATCCCTCGACGAGGGTTTGGGATTGATGTTGTACTGTACCTATATATTAAGGAGCCCCAAGACCTTCTTCTCATTATTCAGGCCCCCATGTTCCAGATGTTAAGCCCAAAAGCCCGGAGCCTGCAGTCCTGCTTCCCTTCATCTTGCAAGAACCCTCTGCACTGACAGCGCAACCCTACAAATGCGGGTATCCATGCAGAAGAGTGCTGTCCTTTTATAGGCCTACATCGTACAATGATCCTCCAAGTTTAGGCCCTGAAACTGTAACACCTTGACCTGCTTGTGGCTTTCAAGGCTGCAACTCCTCCAGCTTTGTCCAGATACTGGCCAGCCCAGCACTTCTTCTAAACTCCAAAGGAGCTCTGCAACGCCTGAGGAGCAAACTTGAAACTTCTTTCGAGCACCTGCTGTAAGCCGGATAAGCAGCTGGGGGAACGACGTCTCTTCCGCCAACGACCGGGTCCAGCCGCATCGATGCACCATCATTCGCTTCATCCATGCCACCCATTTTCGAGACCTTAACCCTAACAAAAAACCCGCCACAACTTTGAGAGAGATTGCACCTTAAGTCAGTACCGTGGCCCTTTACATGCAAAACGCCGTCGGCGCCCTAACCCTCAACCCCAAAATCTTACAAGGAAAGGAAAAAGGAGTGGGAGCCCCACCGTAAAACGAAAAAAACTATGAAACCTAGACCCTACAAACCGTTCAAACCACTAAACCCTGAAACTCGTAAACCTTACACTCCTAAACCCTAAATCCTAAAACCCTGAACCACAAACCCTATGAAACCCCAATGGGCCATGATTAAAGATCGAGAAACACCACTAGTCTTCATTGTACTTCCTTTTTTGGCTTAACTACTTTGATACTGGGTTCCCAAGTGTCACCTTTCCTGGCATTTAGTGTGATAAGGAAACCCTAAATCAAAAAGGGCACAACGGGTGCTACTGGGGAACTCAGGATATTTAGGATCCCACAAGGTGACCCCCTTCAAAAGGAATTACAATGGAGACTGTAGGCATGTCTGCTTTCTCATCTTGTGGATGTCGCAGCTAGTTACGGATTGAGTGGCTTTCGGGGTGTGCTTGGGGGCCCAAAGATCATATCCTCATGAAGCCATATTAATTGCTGGGGCCTTCAAGATCAGAATAGGGTTTGGGGTACAAACAACTTGCTGTGGATTGGGAATGTATATAAGAAGTATTTCACAGCTCGTTCTGTTGCCGCGACAACGATACGTGACCCTTGTGGAAGGAAATACCTGCGAGCATCCCCCTTTGAAGCCCCAATACGGATGGATAATTCTATAACATTATACGGGTCCCAATTAGGGTTCTTTTGATAAGGGCACCGTGCTAATTTGGGGGGACTCTACTTTTGAAAACTTGAACTACCAATATAAGAGATGCCCTGTACTCTAAACCTGAACCGTGAATCAAGTCCTCAACTCTTAACCTCGATGGCCTAGCCCTCTTCCTCCAAACTCATGAAACCCACCATGAAGGCTGTTACGAAACCTAATACGAAACACCAAGCAAACACAAAAACACTACACAAATCCTAAAGCCCTCAACTACTCTTGAACCGCAAACCCTGAACCCTAAAACCCTCAACTACCCAGTGTCCAGCCAACGCCTGGCCATCTGCATCGCCACCCGTTCAGCAGCTAACCACTGTGCCGCCTTCGAGGCGGACAGGGTGCCTTACTAAATAGAACAGGGTTCTGGCTTTCAGTAGCGGGTTTTAAACTAAACAAGGGCCTATAAGGATTTGTCTTCAGGGTCCTGCAAGGTTTTACAGGGCCTCGGGTATAAGAGCTTTGATAGACAGAATAAGGAATAGGTTATATAAAAGTATATTTCCACACTGGAACCCCTAAAAATGCCAGTCTTAGCTGTTCCCATTCATGTTCGAGTTCGGGCACTGGATTCCCTACCCAGACCCCCGGGAAGATCCAAAAAAGTAGATCCCTTAATGGGGATTCCTATAAAGTACCGTTAGTGATATAGGGCCCCAAATTTAGGGGATCTACTTTCTAGATCCTCCAACCGTAGGTCTGGGTAAGTTTTAAGCAGCCGGATTTTGCAGTGCCCGAATGCATCTATATCCCCTAAATCCTCCAACCTTAAAGGGTCAGGTTTTTTCGAGCTCTAGGGTCGGCAAGCTTGAAGATTTAAGGTTTTTTCCTATATTATGTCAGGTTTAGAGATTCAGGGGCTGTCTTCTTTTTCCAGCCAGCTTTGCCTGCCGTCCAGCCACCTCACTTTGGCAAGTAGCCCAGCATTTTGAAGCCATTCAAGCCATAGCTCTTGTGGGCCTTGAGCAGCTCGGTCAGCTGAGGCTGGATGGCCGCAAAACTCACCAGCCGTTTCAGCTGCTTCTTCAGCTCCTCCTCTTCATTACAAAGACTCAAGCCAACCAGCATCGCCACCTTGTTCTGGAAGCCGGTCTTTGTTTTCTCCGGCACACGGAACGTGTGCACTCCGCCAGCAACATCCACTCAGGTTGTTGCAGACGACGAGGACGGCTGGCCAGCAGCAGCAGCTTGCTGCCAGTCACCAGCATTCTCCCAATGGCTCAGGTCCATCTGCAGTCATAGGCAGGTTCTTGGGGGTTGGGGGCATTAGGTTTGACTCAGGCAGGGTTTGAGGTTTCTTGCTGCTTGTGGTCCATGCAGTGTTTCAGGCTTTCGGGGCACACTAAACACTAAACCCTAAAACCCTAAACTCTAAAATCCAAAAAACCCTAAACCCAAAAAACCCTAAACCCTAAAACCCAAAAAACCCTAAACCCTAAAACCCCAGACCCGAAACCCTAAAAACCCTAAAACCCGAAACCCTAAAGAATCCAGGCTCAAAGGCGCTTTTTTCTGTCTCTGGAAGTGAGATGCATGCTTGCATAACGAGGCTACATACCCAGGCCATTCTCAGGTTCGGATCTGTTGACGGCGTACAAACCCTCAACGCCTCGTCTTCATGTCCAAACCCTATACTTAAAAGTTAAAAGTTGAAGTCCCAAATCTTCCCGGTGTAGGACACTGTTCGTAACATGCGTTCTCCGGAACAGGCTAGAATTTCCAGCAAGCAGGAACCATACGAGAAACCAGAAATACAAGGATCCTCAGATAATGACACCCCAATAATGCAATTCCTGCAGACCGGATTCGAGAACTCCATAAGCCAGGCATGAGTGGAGACCCTTACCCTAAACCCTAAACCCTAAACCCTACCCTAACCCCTAAACCCTAACCTAAACCCTAAACCCTAAACCCTAACCTAAACCCTAAACCCTGAACCCTAAATCCTAAACCCTAAACCCCAACCTAAACCCTAAACCCTAACCTAAACCCTAAACCCTAAACCCCAAGGGGGGGGGCAGCTGCAACACAGGGGCCTTAATGATTGGAGTCGGGCCCCCGTTGAGGGGTTCCCGCACATAGGGTCCTTTTGAGGCTACAAATAATGGGAATGCCTTCAGAAAGTTGGAACTTTACTATCGTCATGCCCTTATCTAAAGTAAGGGGAATCCCAGCACAAATCATCCCAAATCTATGTTCCACCTTTTTGGGGGTTCACTATAGTCCCAAGGCTACTTCCCAAGCCCTTGTGACAGCTTTAGCCCTGGGCACCCTCCGGCCGGATTCATAAAACCTTATCATGTGCATTCCCAAAGATTTGGGTATGGGGGGTTGTAAGGTTGTAGGGTTTTTGGGTTCGCTACATTCCTATAGATTTGGGGTTTGGGGCTTATAGGATGTCATGTTATGGGATGTTTTCTTGCGGTGTAAGGCTGTGGGGCTACGGCTTATGAAGTCGAGCCTACATGAAGCCTCCTAAACCCTTGCACCCTAACCCCAATGCCTTACACCCTAAGCCCGATCCGAGAAAAGCCTCTGGAAGTAACACGCGGGGGAAATGCATCTCCACCCGGAAACGGCCAAAGCTCACCAAACTCCCCCGGATAAGGTCCACGCTTCTTTGGGGGCGAATATGATAAGTTCCGAAAAAGGGGTGTATATGTATGTATATATGTATATACGTATGTATGTACGTATGTATGTATGTATGTAATTACGTATGTGTATATATATATATGTATACATATTGCAGTTATCATATTCATATGTATGCATCTGTTCAAGGGTTTGCGGGTTTTTGAAACGTGTAGTAAGTGTTCTAAATGCGGGCTGTAACTAAGATTGCAAGCTTTAGATTGTTTGGTGTGGGGTGCTACGGGCTTTCGGGCTTTGGGGTCCATGGCTTGCGGCCCTCAGGTGTTGGTCGCTCGGCTTGGGGTGTATAGAGTTTTGGATACTGCATGTGTTGCAAGACGTTTTCATGAGTCCTCTAACCCCTAAACCTGAAGCCTAAACCCCGAAAGCCAAAAATTTACTAAAGCCCTAAACCCCTTAACCGCAAGCTATCGGACCTCATCTTGGGAATCCGGTCGCAAAGGCATCTGCTTGGGAAATCTTCGCCGCGCGGCGCTGGTTGCTCCGCAGTGGTGTCGATGGGGTTCGAGGCCCTAAACCCTAAACCCTAAACCCTAAACCCTAAACCCTAAACCCCAAACCCTAAAAAACTGAATCCCAAACCCTCCAGTTCGGTACGTCGGACCCTAGACCCCTGCAAATCCTTATCAAAACAACGTATATAGAACCGTTACCGAACCTTACACAGGGTCTTGTGTCCTGCCATCAGGATCGGAGCTGCCTTAGGCTGTTTCTGAAGACTAGTGAAGAAGGAAAATATGGCATATCCCGAAGGCCTACCAAGAGTGCAAGGCTCTGCAGCTTGCCCCGCCTACTTGACCCACAGCAGGACCCAACCACCCAAACTCTACACCAAGATGTATGTAAGCTCCAAGCACCTACCCCAAGACGCTGTGATGATATGCTGAAATCATGGAGTAAGGGGTTGGGGCTGTGGCTGTGGCCATAAATCCCAAACATGTTTTGGGTTTAGACTTTAGGGCTTGGAGTTTAGGGCATGGGGTTGAGCTATAATTGGAGTCAAGAGTCCTGAAACCCCCCCAAGTCAATTTGGCCATGAGGGTTCTGGGCTTTTAAGTGACCAGGGTGAAAAACATCAACTTGCATTTCATAATGGTTCCTTTAAGAAAAAGTGTTAAAGTATGGTACTCCAATGCTTCGTCATGGCTCCTGTAAGAAAAATGAATAAGTATGGTACTCAAAAGCTCAGGGTTCGTTTAAATGCAGCGAGACTTCCACGCCGCTTCGCTGTCCTGGTTGAGGTAGCAGATCAGAAAATTGCAATAAGAACATAGGGAATCATAGTCCCAGCTGTAGGGTGCATCATGCGTCACGGTGTAATAGAGGATAGCTAGGAGACCTATAGACCTATGTACGTAGGACCTTTAGGTTCTATTTGGCGTAGGGCTTGCTCTGTGTCTTAATATATACTGTGTATATACGGAATTACAAATTTAAAGAATTTAAAAAATTTAAAGGGGGTAAATCCTTTAAATTCTGAAATCGTCCGGAATTAAAAATTTAAAGAATTTAAAAAATTTAAAGGGGGTAAATCCTTTAAATTCTGAAATCGTCCGGAATTAAAAATTTAAAGAATTTAAAAAATTTAAAGGGGGTAAATCCTTTAAATTCTTTAAATCTTGAAATGGTCCGATTTAAAAATTTAAAGAATTTAAAGAATTTAAAGAATTTTAAAAATTTAAATGTTCAGCTCCAGCCCCAGCCCCAGCCCCCCAGCTTCCGACCCCAGCCCACGGAATTAAATTTTTTAAATTCTTTAAATTCTTTAAATTCTGAAATCGTCCGGAATTAAAAATTTAAAGAATTTAAAAAATTTAAAGGGGGTAAATCCTTTAAATTCTGAAATCGTCCGGAATTAAAAATTTAAAGAATTTAAAAAATTTAAAGGGGGTAAATCCTTTAAATTCTGAAATCGTCCGGAATTAAAAATTTAAAGAATTTAAAAAATTTAAAGGGGGTAAATCCTTTAAATTCTTTAAATTTTGAAATCGTCCGGAATTAAAAATTTAAAGAATTTAAAGAATTTAAAGAATTTTAAAAATTTAAATGTTCCAGCTCCAGCCCCAGCCCCCCAGCTTCCGACCCCAGCCCACGGAATTAAATTTTTTAAATTCTTTAAATTCATCGTCCGGAATTTAAATTTTTAATTCTTTAAATTCTTTAAATCTGAAATCGTCCGGAATTAAAAATTTAAAGAATTTAAAAAATTTAAAGGGGGTAAATCCTTTAAATTCTGAAATCGTCCGGAATTAAAAATTTAAAGAATTTAAAAAATTTAAAGGGGGTAAATCCTTTAAATTCTTTAAATCTTGAAATGGTCCCGATTTAAAAATTTAAAGAATTTAAAGAATTTAAAGAATTTTAAAAATTTAAATGTTCAGCTCCAGCCCCAGCCCCAGCCCCCCAGCTTCCGACCCCAGCCCACGGAATTAAATTTTTTAAATTCTTTAAATTCTTTAAATTCTGAAATCGTCCGGAATTAAAAATTTAAAGAATTTAAAAAATTTAAAGGGGGTAAATCCTTTAAATTCTGAAATCGTCCGGAATTAAAAATTTAAAGAATTTAAAAAATTTAAAGGGGGTAAATCCTTTAAATTCTGAAATCGTCCGATTTAATTCTTTAAATTTGAAAGAATTTAAAGAATTTAAAGAATTTTAAAAATTTAAATGTTCAGCTCCAGCCCCAGCCCCAGCCCCCCAGCTTCCGACCCCAGCCCACGGAATTAAATTTTTTAAATTCTTTAAATTCTTTAAATTCTGAAATCGTCCGGAATTAAAAATTTAAAGAATTTAAAAAATTTAAAGGGGGTAAATCCTTTAAATTCTGAAATCGTCCGGAATTAAAAATTTAAAGAATTTAAAAAATTTAAAGGGGTAAATCCTTTAAATTCTTTAAATCTTGAAATCGTCCGGATTTAAAAATTTAAAGAATTTAAAGAATTTAAAGAATTTTAAAAATTTAAATGTCCAGCTCCAGCTCCAGCCCCAGCCCCCCAGCTTCCGACCCCAGCCCACGGAATTAAATTTTTTAAATTCTTTAAATTCTTTAAATTCTGAAATCGTCCGGAATTAAAAATTTAAAGAATTTAAAAAATTTAAAGGGGGTAAATCCTTTAAATTCTGAAATCGTCCGGAATTAAAAATTTAAAGAATTTAAAAAATTTAAAGGGGGTAAATCCTTTAAATTCTGAAATCGTCCGGAATTAAAAATTTAAAGAATTTAAAAAATTTAAAGGGGGTAAATCCTTTAAATTCTTTAAATTTCGAAATGGTCCCGATTTAAAAATTTAAAGATTTTAAAGAATTTAAAGAATTTTAAAAATTTAAATGTTCAGCTCCAGCCCCAGCCAGCTCCAGCCCCAGCCCCCACCAGCCCCAGCCCAAGCCCCACCCTAGCCCAGCCAGCCCAACAGCCCCTACCACCCCCAGTCCGCCAGCCCCTGGCCCCCGCAGCCAGCCCCAGCCCCAGCCCCCCAGCCCAGCCCCAGCCTCGACCAGCCCCCCCAAGCCCCCCAGCCCCCCCCTACCAGCGCCCAGCCCTAGCCCCCAGCCCCCACCAGCCCCAGCCCAAGCCCCCAGCCCCAGCCCCAGCCCTTAACCCCCAGCCTCAGCCCTCAGCCCCCAGCCAGTCCCAGAGCCACCCACCAGCCCCACCCTCGACCCACCCCCCAGCCTCCAGCAGCTACCTTGTCGCCCACCCAGCCCATCCCCCAGCCCCAACCCCCAGCCAGCCTACCCTCAGCCAGCCAGCCTCGCCCAGGCTCTCAGCCACCTCAGCTCCAAGTATGCCGCAGCCCCAGCCCCGCTGCAGTCCTGGCCCCACAAGCCCGCCCCCCAGCCCCAGCCTCCAGCCCCACCCCTGCCCACGCCTAGGCAGAGCAGCGTGGGGCGAGGGCGTTTATGGGGCAATGTACGAGGATCGTGAGGACTCTAAACTAGTCGTGGAAGTAGCAGTAGCAGTTGCAGTAGTAGTAGGAGTAAGGCTGAAAAGATGACACATTTCCGGCCTGAAATGTGTCATGCTTCTTTCTGTAACACGGAAAAGATGACACATTTCCGGCCTGAAATGTGTCATGCCACTTTCTGTAAAACGGAAAAGATGACACATTTCCGGCCTGAAATGTGTCATGCTTCTTTCTGTAACACGGAAAAGATGACACATTTCCGGCCTGAGGTTTGAGGTTTGATATCGTCTGAGGGTAACAAAAAAAACTTTTTGGCCCCCTCCCAGCCCTAGCTCCCAACCCCCAGCCCTATCTTCCAGGCCCAGCTCCTTGCACGCCCAGGCCCCCATGTACATGAACATGTATCATACACAGAACAGTAGCCTTTTATTATTTATACATTCCGTCAGATCATGCCAGCAACGTTTTTCTTGAACCTGTGTACTCATGTAGAAACGGACATGCAAGGTTCGCCTTTCATTCTTTTGTTGTTTTGTTTACTTTTTATCTTGTGGTGATGATGCTCTTGATGCTTGTGAGGGTAGTATAGATACTGATGCTGTGTGATATCGACATGCTCATGAAACAACAATCCAGGTTCCTTCTGACTGGCGCAGGCGAGTTTGCTTGTATGTTTTTGTAATCTATAGAAAGGTTCCTTAAACACAAGATAGTATTTTCCCGAGTCCATATGATAAATACTGTTATTACGGGTTTCCAGCCCCCGGTCAATTATATACAGACAGGGGGCTAGAAGCTCTATTGTAACTAGATAGAAAATTTGCTTGAAGTTAATGCCGTGTAAACATAAGAAATTGCTTCCAAAAATGAGTGGACCTGGCCTTGTCAGGCCCCAGGCCACTCCCCGGCAAGCGGCACCGGGTAAAGAAAACGCGCACGGGTGTGATTTTAATCTTCTAGACGGCATTAACTTAAGCACCTCTAAACCCTATACCCGAATTCTACAAAGGCACTCGTGTTCATGATGGCTCGTCCGATCTCTTTCTTGTTTTTATTCACTAACGTCCAAATACACAGAGCGCGCCTGTTGCGCTCACATCTCGAAGCTCACTTGATATCACAAGTCACCAAGAAGCACTACGAGTTGGACGCCCGACAGCGGGTTTACCACGTTAAAGTGGGACGGCCGTCGTCAAGAATCCAAGCGAGCCGGCCGCGTCTAGGCAAGCCGGCTGCCCGCAAGACGACAGGCGAGCCGGCCGCCCTTAGGCGAGCCGGCCGCCCTTTGGCGAGCCGGCCGCCCCTAGGCGAGCCGGCCGCCCTCAGGCGAGCCGGCCGCCCTTTGGCGAGCCGGCCGCCCTTGGCGAGCCGGCCGCCCTTAGGCGAGCCGGCCGCCCTTTGGCGAGCCGGCCGCCCTTAGGCGAGCCGGCCGCCCTGTGCAGGTTTAAAAGCTGTGTTCAACTTTGGCTTCGGCCTACGTCAGTGGGGTAGCCCCCCAGCGGTAGCTCTCGCGAATTTTTTACTGAGCTGGTTGAGGGCGAGGTTGAGCCATGCAGTTGCTTCAGGCTTTACTTCAAGCTTTGCTTCTGTTGCTGAGCAAGGCATATCTCGCCACTAGCAATTCGTTACAGGTGTCTGGAAGGTCATGATTGAAGCCATTCAAGGCTTAAACATTTCAACGACATGGCAAAAGGCAACCTGTCTTGAAGGAGAGATGTGAGGGTCTAGGATAACTGTGAGACAAGGCAAGCAGTCTTGCGCCAGCTGCTCCTTTGAGGAATAGCTGTTTCCAGCTTTACCTAGTGAACCAACATGCTAGACTTGAAGCAAAGGGAGAAGCGTGAAATTTGAAGGGTGCTGTCTTGGCAAGCAAGCAGCACAGGGAAGCCGACCGCTCTTCATTGACCCGACCACGGTCAAGACGACAGGTGAGCTAGCCGCCCTTTGGCGAGCTAGCCGCCCGCAAGACGACAGTTGAGCTGGCCGCCCTTTGGCGAGCTAGCCGCCCGCAAGACGACAGGTGAGCTAGCCGCCCTTTGGCGAGCTAGCCGCCCGCAAGACGACAGGTGAGCTAGCCGCCCTTTGGCGAGCTAGCCGCCCGCAAGACGACAGGCGAGCCGGCCGCCCTTTGGCGAGCCGGCCGCCCTTTGGCGAGCCGGCCGCCCCTAGGCGAGCCGGCCGCCCTCAGGCGAGCCGGCCGCCCTTAGGCGAGCCGGCCGCCCTCAGGCGAGCCGGCCGCCCTTAGGCGAGCCGGCCGCCCTGTGCAGGTTTAAAAGCTGTGTTCAACTTTGGCTTCGGCCTACGTCAGTGGGGTAGCCCCCCAGCGGTAGCTCTCGCGAATTTTTTACTGAGCTGGTTGAGCGCGAGGATGAGCCATGCAGTTGCTTAGCCGGCCGCCCTGTGCAGTGTAGAAGCTGTCTTCAACTTTGGCTTCGGCCTACGTCAGTGGGGTAGCCCCCCAGCGGTAGCTCTCGCGAATTTTTTACTGAGCTGGTTGAGCGCGAGGTTGAGCCATGCAGTTGCTTCGGGCTTTACTTCAAGCTTGGCTTCTGTTGCTGAGCAAGGCATATCTCGCCACTAGCAATTCATTACAGGTGTCTGGAAGGCCATGATTGAAGCCATTCAAGGCTTAAACATTTCAACGACATGGCAAAAGGCAACTTGTCTTGAAGGAGAGATGTGAGGGTCTAGGATAACTGTGAGACAAGGCAAGCAGTCTTGCGCCAGCTGTTCCTTTGAGGAATAGCTGTTTCCAGCTTTACCTAGTGATCCAACATGCTAGACTTGAAGCAAAGGGAGAAGCGTGAAATTTGAAGGGTGCTGCCTTGGCAAGCAAGCAGCACACGGAAGCCGACCGCTCTGCAGCGACCCGACCGCGGTCAAGACGACAGGTGAGCCAGCCGCCCTTTGGCGAGCTAGCCGCCCGCAAGACGACAGGCGAGCCGGCCGCCCTTAGGCGAGCCGGCCGCCCTGTGCAGGTTTAAAAGCTGTGTTCAACTTTGGCTTCGGCCTACGTCAGTGGGGTAGCCCCCCAGCGGTAATTCTCGCGATTTTTTGATTGAGCTGGTTGAGAGCGTGATTGAGCCATGCAATTAGTTCACATCGTTTTCACTCTGATGCGGACACTTCGGCCGGGTGCCTGCTACTTATTCCCACCCCTCAAAGTAGGAGCTGCATGGCTACTTGCGCTCAACCGCGCAGAGACCGGTGTAAGATACGTTTTCAGCCAAACTGCCAATCATCTTCGCGGGTTGAGGCTCGAGGCTTGGCCGAACGTCACTTGTTGCACTACTAGAAATTGACACTGACAGCAACACCTGCACTAACACCAGCAGCAGCCACCTGACCTTTTCGTTGCGCTGTCATGGTGGCCTTCCAGGCCGCTTACGTTCCCGAGAGTATTCTGACTTTGCAGACTTGGAGCCAACAGCAGCTGTGCGGCGTAACTGGCCGGGCATGGTTTCCTTTGTCAAGGACGTTATCTTCAAACATTGACGTCGCACAACACGCTAACAAAAGGCATACGAAACTGTTCTCTAGGACAGCGCAAAATCATTCATTTCAGTGAGCCAAAGCAACTAGACGGTAAAACTGTGTTTATTCGGATGCGTGTACTAGCATTCGTCAGCTTTGATCCAGGAGTTCGAACCGACATGTCGATGTGCTGTTCACGGCTGATCCACCACGAGGCTGGAGACGTCGACTTACCGGCATGGGGTTGATGAACTTCATTGAGTGGCATTTCGGCTGCTGTCGCTATGGGGTCGTGATCCTCGGCGCAGCCGGGCAGCAGGGCCTCTGCTTGTTGGTGCGACCCATCAGCAATTTGCTGGTGTTCGTGGACATTCAGCGCAACGGTGCAAACGCCAGTTGCACTTTCCGGCTACTCGCTCTTGACGTGCTCGGCATTTGCCTACTTCCAAGTATCTATGATCTAGCTATTTTACATTTCCCGTGACAGTTACAGGGTGTCCTGGAATGTTCTTGGCAATGACTTCAGACTTCAGTGAACCTTCGGAGAACCAGATTCACTTCCATAGTTTTCATCGTAGGACCCCCAAAGCCTTGAAGCTGAACATCTTTTGCATCTTCAAGCAAGCCTCACTCTTCCAGCCTTCGGCGTTGAGGTTGTTACAGACATGAGTTTGACTTCTTCAACCTTGTAAGGGTTCGCTTTCCTTGAAATGATATAGACATCCTCAAGCTTTCAACCGTGGTCTCTGAAGCCATATCCAGAGACCAGGTTCGAATTTTCACTTCACGGCTTTCTGCACTTGCACGAGGTACTTGATGATGTGGGAGTAGTTTCCATGTCTATTCGCAAGATGCTGTTGAATTCTTGAACATTCCACAGCTATGCTGCCTTGTAAAGCAGACGGTGGAAACGATGGACAGCTCAGGTTCGGCAGCGGTGCTCCCAGATGGCATCTGATGCACAACTACCGTGGCCACTTGGAGCTCCATGCCCCGTTGAACCATAACATGTACCATGTTAGAGAAAGAGTTTATTTCAATGTAATCCGCGACTGCTCGTGGGCCTTCACTTTACCAGATATGAGCACTTTCGCTATCGCTGTCAATGGCTATCGCTTGGTCGCCAACCAACAGTTCGAGACCACTGTTGATAGTGTGCTTATCAACTACCGCACTCTTCGATGCACCTCTGACGACGAGACTATGACGTTTGCAGGAAGCGACTCAGAGGATCCGGAGCTTTAGGCGAACGGTTCCGCACTGCTTCTGTGCTCTCATTTTTTTTCTTTCGCCGTGTGTGTCTTCACTCGGCTGGTTTTTAATCGATGTGCAGCCTGCCATTATCTGAAACAGAACGATGCGCTCCAAGTGATTCGCGAAGCTAACTTTCGTCGAGGATATCGAGAAATGTCTTGTGTGTGTCACTGTAAATTGAAGACTATGTCTCTGCAGTGCTAAAGCTAGCTGTTCGACATTCCTGCAGCGCTAACTATCAAGCAACATTCCTGCTCTCTTCTTTCTTCTTGTTGTGCCATCGTCGGGCCAGGCTCTTAAGATTAATCTGCATTCTTTTATTACCGTGCACCAGCAATGTCTCTTAGGCTGTCATGGCTTTGTACTTCCAGCACAGCATGTTGGACGATGATGACCGCTGCAAGGTGCCGCCTGGAACTCGGACTGCTCATCCTCGCTAGTCACGTTCGGAAGTGTCATGGCACTTTGTCTGAGGCTGCCTATGGCAGAGAGTGAGCCACCTTCGGGTAAGCGTGCCTAGATTGCACCGAGTTCCGACTGCTCGCGGGATTGCACATACTACACATGATCATTGAGTCTAAGGTGTTTTTGTCAAGTGGCTCCGTCGCTGGGTGAGGACTACCCCTTGGTCGCACTACTTCGGTTGCAGTCGTTCTGCTGCCGCGAGGATTTCCTTGCCTGATCCGATGGATGTCACTTCAGGCTGACTATGCTTTTCAAAAGCGCATGCTGCGGTTGCTGGTGTGCGTGATGTGAAGCGGTCCTTCAGGGGTAGCTGCTGACGGCGGCTGGCGAAAGCGTAAGCACGGAGCTGTTTTTGTTTGGAATAGACCTAGCGACCAATGTCACGATAGCAACCTAGTACATCAAGGTCTGACGCCGCTGCCGTCAAAGGATACCGCTGTTGCTTGCCTGAAACATTGCATCTGAGTTCAAACGTTTAGATGTTACATGGTGGCTTGTCTGTTGTATTGTTAGTGTTCCAAGGGGTTTTTGAAAACGGCCGCTGGCGAAAGGTAATGCCTGTGCCTTAATGGTACCTAGAACAAAGAACTACTTCTTTGCTACAATTTCAACGAGGCCTGCCGCCGCGGCCGTCATGGATTCAACGAGAAAGCAGCAGGGCACCGAGTTTAACATCTAGGTTGCTGTGTTAGTTATTGACGAACTGAGACGTCGCATTCCTTTCTGTTCGGTGCTCCGTGTTCGGCAGGATCGCGCCGAAGCTCGTGACGACGTCGGAGTTGCTTTCTGCAGATTAGCTCTAGACATTCTCCAATTTTCCCGACTTGTGCGGCCGTAAGGCTTGACCCGATGGCTGTGCGGCGCTCCAAGCACAGGGGGCAAACATCGGTTGTCAGCATGTAGCTCACATGCAAGGTATAACGGTATAACAGCACCCTGTCCAGGTCCAAGAACAACGAGGAAACCAGGATCCGGAGTTTGTTGAACACTGAGTTCTTTAAGTTTTGCGATGTGCGGATTTGCACAATGCCCATGATTCCTGGCACTATGTTGTCGTGATTTGCTTGTGCAGGAGCCTACAGTGGAGAAGCAGCAGAACAATCTTGTGGCGATTCTGAAGCAGAACGATGAGGACGAGAAGACCAATATCCCGCAGACACGTCTTGATAAGGCAAATGCTGCAGCCGTGAAACATTTCCTCGAAATCAAAAAGCCAACGGTGAGCAAGCTTTGGTGGCAACGCTTTTCCAAAGCTAAGCTCAGTGCTGACAAAGAAGCATTCGACGACCTGGTCAAGGAAAGCATTTTTCTTCCAGCGGATGCAAAACAGGATGCAGAGAACTACATTCCCACCATACCTTGTCAGAAGGCGCTGGAAGATTTATTCGTTGTCGGCTACGATTCCAACACAACAGTGCTGCGTGAACGTTTGAATGCCAGAAAGCTTTGGGATGCAGTACATAGTAATCCTGCCCGAACGGCCAATGCGGAGCTTCTACAGCATTTTTTTTCGCAAGTGCTGGCAAGGTTGGACTCTGGTCGGGGTCGTCGATCTACACAACTCATGGAATCTTTGTTGCGCTGGCGGAGCCTGTCGAAGAAGCTACGCAAGCATGAAGAATGTGCTCACGGATTATTGGAAGCGCTGGAAACGAAACTTTCCCATGCAAGTCAGCAACCTCCTGATGAGCGGGCTTCGGCAATATCGCCACAAGAGAAGCCTGTTCGTCGAGCTGTTAGGAAGAAGTCTTCGGCTGCACACGTTGAACAATCATTAGCAGGCCAAGCGGCAGCTTCCTCTGCAAGTGGTGCTCGAAGTGGAAATCCTTTCGCTGGAACCGAGGAAGACCGCTTCGTCAGCTACGATGTCACGTACAAATACAAATTGGCAGACGTGCGTACGCGCAGATACGCCAGTTTCCATTCTGCGCAGAATTTGGGCAAAGCCTGGCAAACAATTGCTTTGGATCAAACGGTAGACCTGGACATCGAGAACTGCTCCTTCACGTTGCTGTTACAGATTTTAGACAAATTGAAACCCAACCACGAGTGCTGGTCAGCAGTCAGGGAGACATTGTCCCTTTGTTCGTCAGAAAGAAACAAAGTCATTGAAGAAAAGCTGAAGCTGCCGTTGTCAGAAGGAAAGCATCTTTTACAGAAAGTATTCAACGGAGGCACACCTCCGGAAGAACTTGCCAAGAATTTGTTCATCGAGGACCTACAGCGAGCAAGTCTTTTCTGCCGCTGGGTCGCTGCAACGATGCTGAAGAACACTGCTTGGCGTGACTTGCTGCAAATGAAAGACAGACCAGACATGTCGGTGTTGACATACTTTTGGAACATCGCGGAAGATCTGGCTGTTGAGTCCTGGATCCGGAAGGTGGAACCGCTGCAGAGCAAGCACATGTCATTGCATTTCGATGGCATCAGGGTGGATCGCGACATCGCGCAGCCAGATGTAGAAACTTTCTGCAGGAGTTGCAGCGACACGATTTTCAAGGACACTGGCCTGGCTGTTCGTATTCGTATGAAACAGCACTATACCTGCCATGCCCTGTTGCAGCAGCTGGAGAACAGAAAACCAGTCGAGTGTCCTGAATGTCTTCGCGCAGCGGGAAACTGTATATTGGCGGCCCTACATCATCTTGGTTTTCCAGAACAGGCGTCTACTATGGCATTGATGACAGAGGGTCCAGAACACATGTTTTTTCAGCGACGCCGCCAGAGAACATATGCGCAGGTTGCCGAGAAAGCGAACATTAAAGTGTTTCCTCGACTACCAACTACTGCTCTAGAATCAGGCCAGAAGATTTTGCTTCATATGGCCACCGAAGGGAACCCGCACTGTGTTGCTTTGGAAGTTTGTTCAGGCAACGAAGTACGTGTGACTGACCTGACTGTCAGCTACACTTTTTCCGTTGTGGATTTGGCACGCATGCTATCGGAAGCAACGGATCGCAAATACATGATCTTCTTTCACCTGAACCAGAAACCTGAGGATCTTGACAGAGATGCACAGGACAGCGAGTATGACCTTCTGATGGAAACTCTAGCAGGCGGAGACTCCGACGATGAGTTCGTTCAGGACCTAGCTTTGCCTATTGTGGAGGAGAAGGAGCAAGATGAAGACATGTTGGAGGATGACGAGAGCGTAACGAGAGTGGGTGACAGACTTCTAGGATTTCTTCGTGACGAAGTTGCTGCTTTTCTGAACAAGAAACCTGCGCAAGTTGCTGATGAGGTTCGAAAGAATGGGAAGGCATGGTGTCCCTTTTGTCCGCTTCGGTGCTGGGACAAGACTCGACACGGTCGTGTTACGGCACATGTGCGAGAATACCATTCGGCAAGGAAGCAATTCGTGGCCAGTGGCACGAAGCAACTGAAGGTTATCATCGCACTCCACGACGATGATCAGTGTCGGCGGCAGCCTGCCGGAAATTACTTGCGCCGCAGTGCTACTCTGCTGTCCCAATCCCTGGATGATACAATTTCGACGCAGCACGTGCTCCTGGACAAGAAGATAAGACTTGTTTTGACGCAGGATGGACCGCAATACTGGTCTCTGCAGGCTGTGCAGCGAGGAGAATTGCGTCGCGTGCGCAATCTGTACTATACGCGGCCATTCGCTCAACTTTGTTTTCGAGAAGTATTGATGTGCAGTGCCAAGGCAAGAAACACACACGCGCGCACACACACACACACGAACAAGTCCTGGTAGCCGTTTGCGGTGTAAACCCATGATCGTTTAGACCGTAGGACGTTGCCTGTTCGTAAGTGGCTGCATGCGATGCAAACCAGTGAGTAAGAAAGACATCACCTCTGCAGGTCTATGCTCTTCATGCTCGACTCTTGGCAATCTTTCCGGGTGCGACAAGCAGCCTTTTGCCGCGCCACGCAAATCACTGGTGGCCAATGATCGAAGACATCTTCCTGTCGGACCGCGTCCGCAGCTTCGAACGGAAGCTCGAAACCGAGCTGGTGCAGCATCAAGAATTCGAAGTCATCAGCATGGATGCGACACTACGTTGCTGCTTGCCCGTTATGGGACAGGCACATCCGCGAGCAAGCAGAGAAGTGAAATCACAAGCAGTGTTTCATGGAGACAGCGCGCTGACTCGAGCCTCTTGGCTGCATGAAACATAATATAAGTTGGCTGCTGTTCTGTTGCACCAGTGAGCAATGAGGTAGTTACATGCAGAGGGCGCACCAATGCAGTGCTCATGTTGGCTGCGACCACGACGGATGAAACAGATATCTTGGTGAAGGCTATGGCCGAGAAATTACCAACAGCTGGGCTTCAACAAGTGCGATGCATGAGTGTGGACAATCCTTCCGCCAAATTGTGGAAAGGCTTGCGTTGCATTTGCCCAAACCTGCAGATTCTGTGCCTCGACCCTGTACATCTCGCGATGACATGCGAGTATGCATCTAGTCGGAAGCGTACGGCAATGTCAAGGACCTTGCGTGCAATATTGCAGAAGTTATCTGTGCACAGCTCACACTGCACCGAAAACACGTGGGGCACTTTTTTCCGAGGCGAGAACTGCAAGCCTCTAACACATGCGGAGGAAAGGGCTCGTTTACAAATTGAGGATCGCAGCATGCCGCTAAGGAAAGCTGCAGCTATCCTCGACAATTTGAATGCGTCCGTTCCCTTTTTCGAACGGTCTGAGTGGTCCCTGTCGCTGGCTGCTTTGGCAGCTGTGTATCGGCAAGACATGGACCGTGTGGTGCCGGGCCCGAACCGGAAGGTATACCAACTTCTTCATTCGGCTGCCGCAGCAGCACGAACGGAGTGGTATTTTAACAACCTTCGTGCTCGACACATGATTGCTACCAGCAGATTGAGTCTGCTCCCTGTCGGCACAACATCGAATGAATCACTACATCACGAAATCAACAATTTTTTCAGAGAAACACAAAAAATCCACAAGACGACCTTGTCGCTGAAGCTCAAGATTCTACAGCTTTCCAAACAAATGACACACAATGCTGCGCTGTACCACGAAACTACTCGGCAGATGGCCGAAGCAGAAGTTCTAGCTCGCACATCGTCCAGAGAGATGTGGAGCTCAGAGCAGTGGCAAGCATGGTGCGACGAGCTCCAAGATGACGCTCGGATCAAGAAGGCGTCTTTGAAATTGCATCCCCAGAGAGAGGACGAGCGTGCCACGGTTCGAGCAGGGGTTCTGAAGAGACCGGCAGTTAATGTAGCTGATGCTTCACCAAAGAGACGGCGAACGCCGCACACTTTGGAACGGCAGGATGGCCTTCGTCGTGCAGGTGTTCGCGGCCGAACACCGGCTACGTAAGTTGCTCCGCGAATGAACTTACGGGATTGAGTGCAATCTATGATCAGATTCTAGTCGGATTTTCGTTGTTGCCTATTGTAGGTGTGCTCAAGACATAAGACGATGTAAACGATGCCGGTAATCATGATCATCCGGATGCAAAGCATCCACTTGACGAGTCTGTGATTTGTGTCTTTGGAGAAAACAAATGCGCGTGATGTGCTTGTGAGATATGCTGCGAGATCCACTCTTCAGGCTTGAAGTGTAAGTTTGTGTGGAGTTCCCTTCGTGGCCGACGAGAAATCTGGGATGCTAGCAACGGTCGGAATATGTGTGGAACACTATTGTGCGTTGAAGCGACAATATCAAGACGTTATTTCAATGCTATTTTTTCTATTTGTGTTTTTCGTTATTCTGATAATGGATTCGTGCACAAGATGGAAGCAAGCTGACAAAGTAATTACAGGTTTGGTTCTGCAGTCCCATGAGAACGTCTAGCTGGCTGCCTCACGCCAGAAGCTAGCTGAAGCTTTTGCGTGTGAATGAACAAGATGGTATGCTGCTGATGGCGGGTTTTTTTACCCATGCGGCAGTATCTTTGCTGTTTGGACTTCATTTCTTTGGCGTGGCAGAAGAGGGAGATGTTGGTGCATGTCATCTTGAATGCCGCAGCGTTTGCTTGCAGAGCAGCTGGCGACTTTTGACCGACGGCCAGAGCAATGCCCGTGCGTGTCTCCGGGAACGGAAAGAGGCTTTCTGCTGGCATGCAAGCTTCAGTAGGAACGCAAGTACATGGACAATGGCTTCGCAGGCGAGCCGGCAAGACTGGGCGGCAACGTCAAAAGACGACTCCTACCGGCAGCGTCCGCATCTAAGAACGTCAAGGCATGCAACACAACCCGTGAGTGACTGCACATGAATGACATGAGGTACAGCCTCGCACGGATGTCTCCTGGCTTCCGCAAGCGGAAAGCCTTTGGAGCACATTCCGCGTGGGACTGCTTGCCTTGCTGCAAGTCTGGCAGGGTCGCTTGGCACTTTGGGCAAAGCTGCTTGATGGCACAACAAGAAGCTGGAACAGGGAAACTGCATTGTTTTGTATTGTAAAATTATCATACATGCGAGGCAACCGCGGTGTCATGCCACAACCAGAGAGCAGCAGCAGTTCTTGCTCGACATGATCCAGGTTTGCGTTGAACAGAACCTAATTATTACGATTAGAAGCAATGCTTTGCCAGTCGAAGTGGACGGAGACCCTGTCTGCCGCGAACTTTACTGCTGCACTGCCCTCGGATTGGTTCGGGCGGCAGCTGCTTGCAATCACGCCGGAGCTTTTCGACGAGGCCAATGTAAAAACAATCTGCAAGGAAATTGTGTTTTCGTGTTCTTCGCAGGTGCTGTCACTGCGAGACAACACCGAGACGCTATTGCATCATAACATTGGCTTAGCCATTGCACGTTTGCAAGGCCGGGGACGCATTGTCACAAATATTTGCCAGTTGTTTTTTACACTGCTTCCAGGCCTCGAGAAGCCCGCTGAGAGGGATTTGAATAGTATCGACCCGCACGAGCGGCTTACTGGCACCGTGGTCAGGGTAGACCCCTTGAAAAACGGTAAGCTCGTGCGGTTAGAGTATTCATTGGGTGGTCCTGTGCGTCTAATCACTGCTTGGGTAAAAAACGACGAGGACCATCGGATTAACTCCCAACGCAAGTTTTGCCTGGAGTGGCGCTGGGACTATAAGGATAGATCCTGGGCTGCGACGGCGAAGTACCTCAGCGAATGTTGAGCTACAGTTCCTTTGGTGATTTTTTCTATGACGTTGTCAATTACGCTCGCGCTCTCCGTGGTGATCAAAAGGGAAAGCGTCGGAATTGATGGTGCTGTGGGAAACCTTTTCAAAGAATAGAAACTCCTTAGAACTGCTGTTTCAAAATTTCTTAAGTACGACAACCAAGAGCACGGGATAGTTACATACTAGCGTCCGAAGGAAAAGCTATATAAACTTAGGAGATTTTCGATATCTAGCAAATATTTTTGATTAGCAGTGTTTTTTTTGCGCTTGATCTCTGCTTGTTCAAACATTACAACCTCCAAGCCCTCATCCCCAGCTCTCAGTCCTACCCTATCAACTCTTATCCAGCCCCACAGCCCCCGGCTCCAGCCCATCCCCACTACGCCGAACCCTGAGCGTCCCACTGTCCGCAACGGTCTAGAGGACACTGTAAACTGCATACAACTGCTGTTTCAAAATTTCTTAAGTACGACAACCAGGAGCACGGTATAGTGACAGACCAGCGTCCTAAGGAAAAGCTATATAAACTCGTAGAGATCTTTGATATCTAGCACATAGTTTTAATTAGCAGCGTTTTCTTTGTGCTTGCTCTCTGCTTATCAAACATTACAACCTCCTATCCGTCATCCCCAGCTCGCAGTCCTATCCTCTCAACTCTTATCCAGCCCCACAGCCCCTGGCTCCAGCCCATCCCCACTACGCCGAACCCTGAGCGTCCCACTGTCCGCAACGGTCTAGAGGACACTGTAAACTGCATACAACTGCTGTTTCAAAATTTCTTAAGTACGACAACCAGGAGCACGGTATAGTGACAGACCAGCGTCCTAAGGAAAAGCTATATAAACTCGTAGAGATCTTTGATATCTAGCACATAGTTTTAATTAGCAGCGTTTTCTTTGTGCTTGCTCTCTGCTTATCAAACATTACAACCTCCTATCCGTCATCCCCAGCTCGCAGTCCTATCCTCTCAACTCTTATCCAGCCCCACAGCCCCTGGCTCCAGCCCAACCACTCTAGTCCCCACCCTGAACGTCTCACTGTCCGCAACGGTCTAGAGGACACTGTAAACTCCATACAACTGATGTTTCAAAATTTCTTAAGTACAACAACCATGAGCACGGGATGGTCACGAACTAACTGCCTAAAGAAAACTATACACATTCGCCGAGACTTTCAAGATATAGCAGACCTTCTTAATCAATATTTTTTTAACTGTTACTTATTTATACATTACAACCTGCCAGCCCTCATCCCCAACTCCAAGTCCGACTCTTTCAATTTTTACCCAGCCCACAGCCCTCGGCTCCAGCCAAGCTTCTTTACTTTCAACCCTCAGCCCATCACTGCAGAATTTGCGGAGGGACATGTGTGTTCGCTTGTCAGAACATGCGTGCGTGTGCGTCTGTGCATGTGTGTGTGTGTGTGTGTGCGTGTGGGTGGGTGGGTGGGTGTACTGTCAGTGGTGTGACTCCATGGAGCATTTCTAAACTCTTGCTTGGGCGTGCCGCAGATTTTCGTGTATCATATACAAACCATGGAATGTATACATGCACATACACATGCATTCATGCGCACTCCTATGTACATGAATACGTATCAGACACAGAGCAGCAGCCCTTTATTATCTATACAAAAGTTCTCGCATAGTAGTAGTAGTAGTAGTAGTAGTAGTAGTAGTAGTAGTAGTAGTAGCAGTAGTAGTAATATTTGGAATCGCTGGTGGCCTGTTTAATACAGGGCGTCCCTTCTTGCGTTTTCTGGCCTCCAGAATGGTGACATTATTCTCGAGACCTCTTCGGCCCTTCGAATTGTGAAGCCTGCACTTTGCTATTGTCCGACGCTTCGGAACGGCTTCGGACGGGTTTGGGCTGTTTCTGAATAGAGTTGTAACAGTTCCTGAGACTTGCTGAAGCTTCCAGAGCTCCTGTTGGCGCTCACAGGCTCTAGTGCACTTTGCTATTGTCCGACGCTTCGGAACGGCTTCGGACGGGTTTGGGCTGTTTCTGAATAGAGTTGTAACAGTTCCTGAGACCTGCGGAAGCTTCCAGAGCTCGTGTTGGCGCTCACTGACCCGGAGTATGAGCAAGGACGATTGGAAGAGCTCAGATCACGGAGGGAAGCTGTTGCTGGGTCCCCTGGAGTGGGATGTGGCAGCAGTGACCCGGAGTATGAGCAAGGACGATTGGAGGAGCTCAGATCACGGAGGGAAGCTGTTGCTGGGTCCCCTGGAGTGGGATGGGGCAGCAGTGACCCGGAGTATGAGCAAGGACGATTGGAGGAGCTCAGATCACGGAGGGAAGCTGTTGCTGGGTCCCCTGGAGTGGGATGGGGCAGCAGTGACCCGGAGTATGAGCAAGGACGATTGAAAGAGCGGCAAAGTTCAGCGACCAATCTCTGGGAGACTGAAAGCAGCAGTCGAAATATTCATGTTCGGCTTCATAATCAAGCCAATAACTTATCCATTCTCAAGCTGGGCAAAGTTCAGCGACGAATCTCTGGGACATTGGAGAGCAGCAGTCGAAATATCCGTTTCCGGCTTTATAATCGAGCCAATAACTTGTTTCCATTTTGACGCTGGGGTCGTCGTTTCTGAGACTCTCTTTTAACGGGAGAAAGAAAACATGAGAGAGAGGAGGTAGCTGCAGTATGCGTATCAGTATAATTACTTCCTGAGAGAGGAAACTGTACACACAGGAAAGCATTGAATCGGTTAGCTGTGTACGTCTCTGCAAAGCATCGCCACCAAGCTGTGCAGCCTGATTCGGTGAATGCAACTTTGGCGCGCCCGCGTGCCATTTCATGGCTCATTTCTTTCCCTTGAAGCTTCTCTGGGTGGGTGCACGTTCGACACCCAGCAAAGCACGCGAAGAGGCTTTCGAATTAATGCGCAAAGCTGTTCACTTGAGGCGCTGGGCAGACTTCTTGTCTAACGCTCAGACACGAGACTGCGAAAAGACGAGTCTTAAGACAGCTGTTCACTTGAGGCTCTTGGCCAGCGTCTCGTCTGACGCTCAAACACGAGACTGCGAAAAGACGAGTTTTATTGACACCTGAAATTCAGGCCATGGACGTGGCCGTTCAGACGGTCGGAAAGGCAAGTGGCCAAGTAGCCTCACTCGCTGCGAACAATGACAATGCCAGTTGAATTGAGGCTCGGACTGTGCCAAAAGGCACTCTGGCCAAACTCGACAAGGCCGTCGTGATCTCAACCGTCCTAGTTAGTGGCCACCAAATCCATGAACGATTCCAGTTCAAGTGAGGCTCGACCGAAAAGCAGAAAGGCTGTCGTCATCTCAGCCGTCCAGTTGCTCGCCACGCTGCGTCCTCCATTTTTCCGGTGAAGTAATTTTGTACTGAGCAGGTGCGCAGCAAGTGGCTGACGGGCGCCATACCCCCAGCGCACCACACCTTGCATTTTCCACGTAAGCAATGTTGCTTCCAAGGTCCCTGCTGCCTTCGCGAAAGGGCTTCCCGTGGGCACCTCAATTCCCTCACAGCACAGGGAGTTAGCTTGGAACTGCTTCCGCAGGTTCCTGCTCCGCTGACACCCACAGTGCCGGACCGAGGAGAGAGAAACACAGCGAGAGTGTGACAAAGACAAGAACAATCCACAGCTATGCTGGCTAAGCATCAGGTCTTTGCCCTGACCGCTGGCCGCTCGGTACCGGCTCGGTCCTTGATCGTCTCTCTACCTCCATCCTAATTTTTCGAAGATGGCAAGTTGAGGTGGAGCCTGATCATCCGCCGCCAGGATGGGTTGGCAGCTCAGCGAAAACAAGAATCAAATGCTCCATTCCAGAAAGCATTCTCGCAGGAGCCGACGGAGGATGGCGAGGTGCAGGCAGCTGCCCTTGCCTCAACTCTTAAACATTTTCTCACATCCCAAATCCTCGCAGGATGGCGATGGATGCAACAACGACGAAGAGCTGCAAGAGCGGGTCAAGGCATCTTCTTTCGTCCCTAACTTCAAACATTTTCTCAGATCCCAAATCCTCGCAGGATGGCGATGGATGGTTCAACGACGAAGAGCTGCAAGAGCCCGTGAAGGCAGCTTTCCTTCGTCCCTAACTCCTAAACATTTTCTCACATCCCAAATCCTCGCAGGATGACGATGGATGGTTCAACGACGATGAGCCGCAAGAGCCCGTGAAGGCAGCTTTCCTTCGTCCCTAACTCCTAAACATTTTCTCACATCCCAAATCCTCGCAGGATGGCGATGGATGCTTCAACGAGAATGAGCTCCGCCAGCGAGTGGAGGCACCTTGCGCCTGCAAACTTTCCTTAAACCCCGAAAAAAACTCCGCCAGGAGGCGAGCAAGCTCGACATGGACGACCTCGAAGACCTGATGTGACGCGGTCAGCAGCAACACAAAGCACAGCACCAGCACCAGCACGAGCACCAGCACCAGCACTAGCACCAGCTTCAGCACGAGCACCAGCACCAGCACAAACAGCAACTACACAAGCAGCAGCACCAGCACCAGCACAAACAGCACCGACAGTAGCAGCGAAGTTTTACTTCACCACGAGTTCCATACGGATTACCCTCGCCGCTTAATTAGTATAAGGAAGTTACTGTAAAATTCCTTAGGCATAGGCCGGGTTTAAGCGGCAGGAAATCCGTATGGAACTCCTAACCAAGCCAACTCAGGCGCGAGGGGTGAAAAGAAGCCTAAGCTCCATGTCACACATAGGGGTTGTAGCATGGGCCTCTATGTATTAATATAAAAATAAACAAATATAAGTATTTGTATTTAGAACAAAAGGGTTTGCCAAATAGACCCTAAAGGTCCATGCCACATAGACCTATAGTGACCACCACGAACATGCGCAGCGCATCACGCGGCCGGGATCCTTCCAACTCCCCGTGATTGCGTGAAACGTGGTGCACAAAGCACTAAGGCAACGTCTGTGGGTGGATCCAAACTGTGTTCCTTGTCGGCACAGCTTCTATGACGAACTAAGTACTTGGTAAAAGAAGGTTTAGATGCCATGTCATGTCTCCTTGATTGAGCCTTAACCCTGAACCCAGAGTACCTAATATAGTGGCTTTAGTTGGTATACTATAACCGTAACAGAGAGAACCCTTTAGGCCTACTAAATTACCTTAAGTGGAACCATCAGTTCGAACCCGAGAAACTGTGTGAGCTGCGGCGGCTTTGTTCCTGTGCCGGACCAAACGCTTCGCAAGTCAGTACTTGGGCTTGAATATGCTTACTGCCCACACCCTGTAACAGTCTATGTTAGGCGCCATATTAAGGGCTATATGTATATGTGTATATACTGTATATACATGTATATATATGTATCTACTATACTCGGGTTTGAATTGCTTTGTATGGTTTTTTGCAGAGCAATCGATTGAAGAGCTGTACAGAGGTTTGGTTTTACTGGGGTCCTCTGTCTTCGCCCCAACTTCAACATTCGGAGAAACTACTTGTTCGTCTACTACTACTGCGAAAGGATTCAGCACTGGAAGGGCAGCTGCGGCTGTGCATGGTTGAGATGTGTACAGCTGCAGGAGGAGGCCGTGTGAATCTGCCCCCAGGGTCCCTTAAAACCTTAGCCTAAACAAACCCTGAACCGTAAACTTAAACCCTAATCCCTAATCCCTCAAATCACAGAACTTGAACTCTGCAGCCTAAGCCTCAGACACCAAAAAAGCTGCACTGGCCGAACAACCTGAAAGCATCGTTTCGACAACGACTGGAGACCCTGCTGCTTGTTGCGTTCGGCCTGAAGGCTGTTGCGTTCGGACGTAGGGCTGCTGCAACGCGTTCCATAGACTTTAAGACGGAACTTGTAATATGCAATCAATATCGACGCAGCAGCAGCAGCAGCAGCAGCAGCAGCAGCAGCAGCAGCAGCAAGCCAGCAACAGCACCAACTACTGATTGACGTACGGAAACGACTACACCGATGCCGGTCAGCACGAAAAATAACCAGGACCACGGTGACAGTAACAAAACAGAAAGCAACACAAACCAGAACCACCACACCACCGCCGAACGGCCACCACCTCCACCACCGAAGCAGCAGCTGCAGCAGCAGAAGCAGCAGCAGTACCACCAATGACAACAACAACAGCAGCAACAACCACCACCACCACCACCACCACCACCACCACCACCACCACCACCACCAACAACAACAACAACAACAGCACCAGCACCAGCACCAGCAACAGCAGCAGCAACAGCAGCAGCAACAGCAGCAGCAACAGCAGCAGCAACAACAACACCAACAACAAGCACAAGCACCAGAACCAGCACAAGCACAAGCACAACTACCACCTCAAGCACCACCACAACCAACAATGCAATGACAACAACGGCAAACATGACGACAACAACAACAGCAACAACAGCAACAAAAGCAACAACAGCAGCAACAAGAACAACAACAACCACAATTAAATCCCAACCCCAACTCCAACGACAACAACAACAGCAACAGCAACAGCAGCAGCGGCAACCGCAACAGCAAACAACCACAGCAGCAACAAAAGCGACAAAAGCAACAGCAGCAACAACAACAACAACAACAACAACAACACTTCCGTGAACCTAGGCCCTAAACCAAATTCCTAAACACACAACACACCTGAAACGGCTAGGCCTGAGAGCCCTAAAGTCGCAAATGGGACCGAGGACACGGATAAATGACAGAGCACCCGTAGCTCCAGTCCCTAGGGTTGTAGGGTTTATGTAAGACCCCTTCACCACTAAAAGTAGAACCGAGAGAGGTAGTACTGTTGATGATATAATATAAGTCCTGCATGACCCAGAATAAGGAATATACCATAATTCCCATATATTCCACTTATCATCAACCGTAGTAGGTACCTGGAGCCACTGGCACCGACATGAGCCCCTCTGTCTCCTGGCCTAAGCTAGTTAAGCTAGTGCTGAGGGGTGAATAGGGGCCTCCATGATGTTGAAAAGGCTTCTTGGGGCATACTAGACTATGAATAGAATAACCCAAAGGGTACCATAATATGTACGGATATAGTAGAATGCAGGGTTTCCATATTAGGAATTACTACTATGACTTAGGGAAGTATCCCCCATGACAGTACATAGGACCCTTTGGGTAAGGAACTCTAAGGAGTAAAATATGCAAGTATTCGGGCATCCAGATAAATTCAAGTGGTGCGACTGTCTGGGCTGCAGGGTGCTCGTCAACTTGGTTTCGGATGGCTTGGGTCCAGAGCCTGGGTTTAGGGCTTACCGGTTTGGATTTGAGACCCAAAGGGGTTAGGGACGAGGCAACAAAATGCAGCTCATAGCTCGTTGTGCCAGGAGATAGAGGATCTGGCCAACCCGATAACAACCAAATGAGGCTGTCGTGTAGGTGGTTCCTGGGTAGCTAGACCGTGTCACCACCCGCGAACTCCCAACGAAGCATGCTACAGCTCTTCCGACAAGCGTTGGAGGACAGCTTGCAGGACAAGTCACATTTAATGTCGCAAGGGCTTCCCCAAGGGTCCAAAGGACCCTATAATTAGGTACTCGGTTTTAGGATAGTAGTTATGTAGGTTAGGATTTTGGAGAGTATATGATTATTAGGTACTTGGGCCCTTGGGCTTCAGGTTAAGGATCTAATCTCCAATTAGCTAGGACCTAGAGCCGGTGTCGCAACCCTATGGCCATAGAGTCCTCAGTGAAGGTGGCAGAATACGTACAGTAGAAGCCCAAAAGTTGGAAAACCAATAGCCTCAATCCTTCAGAGTAATGTATAGGGAACCCCAGCACTCTTTGGCCTTAGTCCGGAATCAAACTTTATGGGGCTTACTGTAGAGTTACCGAGTGCTACCTGCATCTTGGGAAGTTGCTTTCGAGCCAAGAGCCGGATAAGATGAACCGTTAGGTCCTTAACTTATGATTTGGGAGTTTCCGAAAAAGTCAGGGTAGATTGTTTTGGAGTCCTTACAAAAAGGATCCTACTATTTATAGGTACTATAGTAGGGTCCCCTATTTTCGGAAAGCCCCCATTTAAGGGCCTCATGTCGGAGAAGCCCCCACAAAACCCGAAACCGCGAGCCAAAAACCTTGACCTGGGGTTGAGGCTTTTCCGCCTTGGGTGCTGAGTCTCAGGGTTAAGCGGGTTGAACTAGGCCAACGAAAGCCAGATGGGTAGTTGTCAAAATTAGGGCAACTTTTTGGGTACCCTAAACATTCGGTGCCGTCTTATAATCAAGACCCAAAAAGGGACCATAATTTTGGCAACCACCCAGATGGTCGTTACAGCTCTTGTCTGGGGAAGAGTGCATCTGTCGGCTTCATTTTCATGGGCGCGTGGCGGCCCTGCGCTTAGCCTCAGGCCTCTACTTGCCTAAACGCTAAACCCTACAGCCTAAGCCCTGCTTCCTGATCCGTCGACCCCTAAACCCTAAACCCTGAACCCTAAACCCTAAACCCTAAACCCTAAACCCTAAAGCCTGAACCCTGAACCCTAAACTGTCAACCCTGAACCCTGAACTCTCCAACACGGGTGCGCAGAAGAGCTGCTGCTATCTTGTGCAGACGGATACCTCCAACGAAGCAGAGGTCTTCACACTGCCAAACTTCTGGGTTTAGGATTTAGGACTTACGATTTAGGGTTTGGTGTTTAGGGCTTGGGGCTTGGGGTTTTATACAAAGCAGAACTAGCTGATGCTTCCAAGTTCGCATGGACTGATGGTCCAGTCACTTCGAAAGGGAAGGTGCGTGCAAGACGTAAATATCCTACAACCCTAAACCCTACAACCCCAAACCCTACGACCCTACAACCCTACAACCCTAAACCCTACGACCCTAAACCCTTAACCCTAAACCCTACAACCCTAAACCCATGGATGGCGACGGTGTCAGCACGAAGACCGTCTAGGCTGTGCTGTCGTGAAGTCCAGGGCTTGGGGGTTTGGGTCTCTGCTTGGAGCTTCCTGGGTAGCTATAAGGGTTCCTTTAAGGTCCCTTTTGCTTGGAGGTTTCATGGTTAGTTATAAGGGTGCCTTTAAGGTCCCTTTAACAGGTTCTATAGGGATTTTGGGTCTTGGGTTCCAAGGTTTATATACCTGGAGCCGAAAAGACCTACCTTTTTAGGGTTCCATACTATGGTTTCTATATAGAGCTCCTTGAAAAGGTAGGTCTTTTCGGCTACAGGTAGGGGTTCCTTTCAGGTCCCTTTAGAGG